CAAATCATGGACTTAGACTTGTTGTATATTCATTTAGTTATATTTTGAACATTGGATAACATAGTTGCTATGTTTGTATTAATGAGAATATGTTTTTCTTATTGAATATATTATTACCTTGTGTAATGATTTGCACACTTCGTATTTAACATCATTCATGCATAGCGTGTAACAAATCGCACACTGAAGATTCGACATTCATCACATCATATTAGTTGTGGACTTAGAGCATGGATTGTATAGGTTTCCAAATTTGGTTGTGCTTGGTAGATAGTTAATTATCTTGCATATTCCTGTTGATACATGCGTTATTGCACAACTTGTTGATTTTGGAAACTTAGGGATATCGTTGTTTGACTATAGCTATGACGTGGTTCTAGTACGGGGGATAGTCCCTCTATATATAGTCTAGTGCCCACATAGGGAGGTTACCCATGGGCTAGTAACCCTAAAGTAACTATGTTGTCGGTCTGATCCGGCGTGACGTTCGAGTATCCACTTTTTTTGATTTCGCATTTCATTTTCAAGTTGATAATTAGATGATGTTGTAACTTGTTGTTTTTTATTTGTCGTTCCATTTTAAGTTACAGGATGTTAACTTTGCGAAATTGTGCTTTATGCGTTATATTGGAAGTTCCAATGTTGGTTAAATTGCATCGATATTGAAAATCGTGTTTTGACATTCTATTAAAGCTTAGGATTGATCCTATTGATTCTTTTATAACATAGACGTTAGGTGGCATGAACCACTACTGTTATTTTGTGCTTTAGATTATAAGTTGATAGCTTGGAGAACTTAAACCTTGTTGTATTGTATAACATGCTCTTTTGTTGTTGAATTGCATGGATAATATGATTCTTGTTAAATTGTATTCAAATATGCTTTTGTCATGTTGTATGGATTACTCTAGACCTAGTTCAATTGTATTGAAAATGCAGTTCATTTTAATTTATGCTAAAGCATTCTTCTTGTCGTGTTCTTTGGATTATCCCAACCATGATTCGTTTCATACACGTATGTATATCATGATTCTTATTGCTTAGACTCTAAGGTAGCTTAGGATGCTCCCCGAGTCTCACTTGGACATAGACGTTAAGTGGCATGAGCCCCTTTAACATGTTTCACCTTAAGGTGATAAATTTGTAAAATGTTAGGTCGATGCATGCTCATCTCCTACGAGTAGCTTTATGTTACTCACCTCTACGATACTGGGGCATATTTCAGGTACGAAGACTTGGTTCGTAAAGCCTAGCATTCCTTGGATGTCGTGTAGCTTTCAAGTTTCCATTTCATGCAAATGTTAGCATGAAATGTCCTTTTATAGACTTATATGTCAAAATATGTATATTTGATTCCATGTATGTAATGTGTACTTAAGTACACTCCTTTCAATGTAATTGATATGTATGAGACGAGGCCGGAGGCCAATGACATGTATATTGTGTTCTATGTACTTTTTAACTTCATGAAATATTTGTGAAAATATTGAAAAATCGCAAGTCATTGCTTCACCATGGTTGCATCGGGTGTGGAAATTCCATTTTCATTCTTTTATAGGTTCTTATTAATCTTGTATGAAGTGTGGCCAAGGGCCAAACGGTCATTTGATCCCGTTTTGTATTTTTGGATTCCGAGTTTTCATTCCAAGTTCCATTTTTGCCTTTTTGCCCGTTCGGGGGTCGGGTTTTGTATTGGTGGTATTTTTAAGTCATGAACCATTGTAGCACGTCCAACTAGGTAAGTTACGTTTGCGTGCATGGTCGTTTCCGGGCAAAACCTTATCGTTTGTGTTTTGAGCCTCTTGTGAATTCATTTCGCATTTTTTTGCATATTCTGATTTAGGGGCATTATGGACCTTTCATGGTGGTTTTATTTTCTTATTTCAACATGGTTGAATAGAAAACATGATTTTATGGGGGGTTTCTTTTCCGTGTTTTTCCAGAAAATGTCGTCTTGGCATCGGAAATCGCTTACGAAGTTCAGTTTCACGTAGAAAACTCAATTTTGAGGGGGGTTTCTTCTTTGTGTGTTTGCAAAAAAATTAATCTAGGCCTCCAAATTCAGCCTCTGTTCGGGATTTTTCTGGAAAATAAGCCTACAGTAGCTTTATGGGCTGCTGCTGCCAGCGTTGGTGCACCCAGCGCGCGCGCGGTGTGCATGGGCGCGCGCATGGGCGTGCATAGGGGCTGTCATGGCCCCCTCGTCGGGTCGCCGCGACGTCAACTCTTCTTTTGGGTTTTTCTCCTTCGTCCGGACTCCGATTCAAGTGAATTTTTTTTTGAACTTGACTAATTTTTTGTTGTCTTTCCAACGGTGTACTCAGTTGCACCCGGTTCTTCCTGGATAATTACCAATTTACCCTTTTTGCCTTAAGTGCTCGTTTTTCTTCGTCATGCCGTTTCTCCTTCGTCCGGATTCCAAATCTTGGGATTCTTGAGTCCATCTTGATTAGTTTTTCGTTGTCTTTCCAACGGTGTACTCGGTGGCACCCGAATCTATAGTTTTTAGAAATGACTATTTTGCCCCTGGGGGCTTATTTGTCATATTTTCGATCTTTTGCTTCCGCATCAGTTCTTGTTGAGTTCCACGACCTCATGGAAGGTCACTTTGACTTCTTAGAGTCTTGTTTTCTGTTTTCACTTCCGCATTCGGATCAGTTATCGGATCATCCTTACGGTTTATCACAGGACACGCTGGCCTAAAAACCAGGGTCGTCACAATTTGCAATTACAGATTGAGGTATTTATATCTAAGTACTTTATTTATGCATTATAGCAATGTAAAAATAATGAAGTTTTAAGATTTTAGGATTCATGTTTATTTATGATTAATGGTTTCCACGAATTATTAAAGTTTACATGTGGTATCGGAACACGTGGTTTAAGATCTCGTTATTTTTCAATAATGTTGCATAAATAAAATAAAAATAAATAATTGATTAATATTTTCTTTTGGAATTAGGATGCATAGGCACACAGTGTGTGTTTTTTTTTCCATAGATGAACACATTGTACAATTATAAACCGAAACTACCAATTACTCCACCTTATATTTATTAGACTGTTTGAAAAATCCGTGGCATATAGATTAGTTTTTTTTTTTTTTTTTTTTACTCGTATTTTACAAACTTTCAACTGCTTTTACAAAAACAAAGAAAAGACTAATTGACAATTGAGATATATGAGTTTATTTTTTGATTTCCGTAAATAAATAGGAAAATACTTCTCCAATAATTAATTACCAGAAAGGTAATTTATAAGTTGATCAAATAAAATAATATTAATATGATATCTATTTTATTTAATCACCAAATAATTGAAGTAAATTACGTTTCTAAATCATGTGGGCCACAAATATAAGAAAATATCTTACATGCATGGATATTTTATATTTAAATGAATGGCAAAAGTTCTATACTTTTTTCATGCTAAATCTTTATAATATTTAGATAATAGTTTTGATTTCAATGAAATATAACTTAAAAATTTTAAAAACGTAAAAAAAAAACTTCTATATATTCTTAGTCTAACTTCTATTTATTTTTCCCCTCTCAGATTTTACGTATGGTATAAGTTTTTATTTATTTAATGCTTAAATATATTTCACGATGATCATCATCTTTTATCTCAAATGAAATGGAGTTGATCATTATACTTAAATACATTACTATTCATTAATTTAGAAAAATAACATAATTATCAAGTCTTTTTAACAAAGAGTAGTTTAAAATTTATAATTAAGTTGTTACTCTTGTTAACTAGTATTTGAAAATAAAAGAACGGGCAAAGTGAGAAAAAAAAAAATTCCTAATGTGTTTATATATTTTTGGCAAATAATACTCTTATAATTTATTTATTTTTTTATATATAATTCCGTTAAGTTTGAAATATATAATAAATAATGGCTTAAATGTTTATATTTAAGAAGTCACGTGTCACACTGCCATGTGGCGCATAACTATTGTAAGTTATAAAATTTATAAAACACTCTTTTGCTCTCCCCAAAATGCCCCTTATACCATTTTATATATAAATCAATTTTTTTTTTTTTTAAACCCGTCTCTCTTTCTCTGCCTCTTTCTTTATCTCTCTGCTCCCAAATTCTCTCTTTCTCCATGGTATCTCGCTACTTCAAAACCTTATTAATTTCACTAGCAAAGTGAGAAAAAATAAAAAAAAACCCTGAATATTAACATTTTGGGTAAATAATACTTCTATCATTTATATTTAGGATTATGCATTTTAGTCATTTTATATTTATTCAGTACTTCACACTTTGTTTTACCAGTTACATGAGGGTATTATAGTCTTTTAGTCGCTCCAGTGACAACAGGCTCATTACATACCCTATACAAGTGTTTACTGTCCCCACCCCTAAAAGAATTACTAAATTTGGTATATGTCAAATTATATAACAAAAGTTGCCAATTAATACATTTAGTGTTTTACATGTGATGTAAATTTTTTATTTAAAAAAAAAAAAAATCACTAATAACCGAATGTATTACTCAGTCCAATACTAATCAAATTCAATTTCACTCCGCTTGTGCCCTTAAATTATAAACTTGGTGTAACGAATTGGGTGATTCGGTGTGCTATAAGAACTTCTAATATTATTTTTTCTGTGTTATGTTAGGTAGAAAATAAAATATTTGAATGGATGGAAGATAAAAAGTGATATATAAAACATTTCTTCAGTAGATTTATTTCATTAGATGAAAGAGAAGGACTACTCTGATGTGGTGATATATTACTCTCATTTCATTTTCACGTCCATCATCATTTCATTTCACCACAAGCTAGACCTTATCTTCCTTCATTTCCAAATTAAAAATCGTCTATGAAAACTATTACTCGTGTCGTGATAACTGTGATTAATAAGTTTCTGAGTTAGAGTTTCCAAAGATAACACGGGAAATCTTTTACTATTTTATTCTATATGTAAGCCGTCACTTGCTGTAGCATACAAATGTTTTACTAGTATATTTTATGCAAGAAACGTGTCACACTAATATTGTCTGCACGCACATCTTTCAGTTACAGCTGCTTCATCAGCTTCTGCTTTCAGTATTATTTCTCTCTCTCTAGGGCGAGTACTCATGGCGGCTGCGGCGATTGTGTCGCCGTACCCAACGAGGACGACCATTAAGAATGAGGCTTTGAAAGCGCCGTCGTGTACCAGTGGCAGCAGTAGTCGCAGAGTGAATTTGGGGGCTGGAAATGGAAACTTCTGGAGAAACTCAGAACTAGGGGCAACATTCAACAAGGAGAAGAAAAGACCCAATTTGCGAGTAGTCTCCGCAACCAAGAACAAAACGGGTAGTGGAATCGCAAACAATGAAACCCCAGTCACCCGATCTAAGTAAGCACAAGCTATTCCTCTTGCATTATTCATTTTCTTTTTCACTCTTCCAATCATTTACGCATGTTTATGCATATATAAATGTATAATTTTGTTATTTATGAGATTAATGTGTTTATTTAGGTTGATGTGTCTACATGTGAGATGGGACTTGACAATGGAGGCGTTATTCCAATTGGGTTTCCAATACTTAAAAGAACCATTTTTTGTTCATTTTCTGAGATTATATATGCTTATAAGATTAATGTATTTATTTAGGCCTGTGTGTCTACATGTGTGATGGGATTTGAAAATGGAGGTGTTATTCCAATCGGGTTTGTGCCTGATACTAAAAAGAACACTTTTTTGTTCATTTTTCGTATTTATTTATAAATGCATGTGGTTTGGGAATGATGTTATTCTGTTGAATTTTAATTGAATGCATGGCTTAATTAAATGGTACTGTAGTTCAGAGAGGGTGACGAAGTGAGACTGAGAACATAAACATTTAGTACAACTAAGGATGACGTTTTTGTCAAATTATGTTATCATAAGGTTAGTGTAAAGGAGAAGACCGGAGGAAGTCAGCTCTAGTTGATTTGGGTTTTGACAATTCTCTATCAGTGTAAGCTTTAACTGCTGATGGTTTAGGACTCCATTAACGATAATGATCTCTCTATAAACGAACTCAATGTCTGTCTAAACGATCGAAAGGAGAATTTTTTTTTTTTTTTGGGTGGCCGGTTGGGGTGGAGAAGCATAGAAGGGGAGACATTGCTTTCAGTTTTGTTCTGAACTAGACTTCTATTTTTTTTATTAGTTGGTACTCACACACACATGCTTCCCCTGAAGCTCAACGCCCTTTCCTTCCTTTGGGAAGTAGGGGCCTGGTACCGCTAGGCCACTGACTTGTTGGTACATGTGTACATCTGAACTGGACTTCTAGCAAGCTTTGTGTACATGTTTCTATTCTTTAAACACTTATTAGGTATATGCCATGCAATTAACACAAAGCTCTTGATGGTAAAAAGCTAATAATGAGTTTCATTTTCTCCGTCCCCCTTCCTTTCTCCTTCTCTAATATCACATTTGTTCAATTTCAGGGTGAAACGTCACACGATCTCAGTGTTTGTTGGGGATGAAAGCGGGATAATAAACCGAATTGCTGGGGTTTTTGCTAGGCGGGGATACAACATTGAGTCTCTTGCCGTTGGTTTGAACAAAGACAGGGCTCTCTTTACAATAGTTGTCTCTGGAACTGAAAAGGTTTTGCAACAAGTTGTAGAGCAGCTGAACAAGCTCGTGAATGTCTTGAAGGTCGTGACTTACCCTTTTTAATATCGGAGTTAGTTTGTAAAAAGATCTTATTTGTCCAGCTGTTTTCTCTTTTTTGTATTTGGCCTGTCAGTAATTATTTAAAAGAAACGAAGGAATGTTAAAGTTCAATAATTAAGATATATTTATGAGCACACATTTCTATTAGGTTTGATGATTGTGATAATTCATTGGCCTGTGCTTGCTGTGAGATGCAGAGGATTGTGTCTTGCACTTTACAGGTTCAATGTAAAATGAGGTGGTAGGTTTGAGGTTTCTGTATCTGCAAGAACAGAGGAAGGTCTTTGAAGGTTGTAGCTGATATAAGATATTAGCTGTTTCTGCTTCCTTGTTTTTCTTATCAAAACAATGATTGATAAGAAACTGACAAAAGTTGTTTTTTTATTCCTCCTCTTTTTTGGCTTGATAATTATAAGTTTGGTGTTACCAGCAGCTAATGAAAATGGTATCAAGTTCATGGGAAGACATGAATTAGGTCTCTTCTAGCGACTTTGGGAACATTACCCAAAAATCAGTCTCAGTCTTTGCAACCATTGTGATTGCACATTAATGTTTTTGTTCTTTTTAACCCCTTTCAACTTGTCTTGGAAGCTTTTATCTAGACTACTAGGTGAATCTGCTACTGCATCTGAAGTATGATCTTGCTTTCTTCTAGATTTCATCCCTTCATTCAGAGAGGCATTACAAATGTACTGCTCTCTAGATTTCATATGGTCTAGCTGCAGGAAATGGTCCATTGACGTAAATTGATCTTTGATAACATATGTTTATGCTTATGTAGTTATTTTTAAGTTGCCTCTGGATAGCAACCATATCTGTTGGTTGTACTTAATCAGAACGGTATCACTTATTCTTTATTGAAAAAAATTATGATCTTTTTCTCTGCACTAGAATTTCTAGTTTTTCTTGTTCCCTTTTACCAAATCAAATTTTCTACATTGTCCCTTCCTATATCTCATTTGAGTAATATAATTTTGTCTGACATATCAGGTGGAAGATCTCTCAAGGGAACCTCAAGTAGAACGCGAATTGATGCTCATAAAGCTTAATGTAGATCCAAGCAACAGAGCCGAGGTTATGATATAATTATGATGCTTCTTGATTTTTTTTTTTTTTTTTTCAAAATAAAGAATTTTAATAATGCAACATATTGCTCGTAGACCATCTCTTTGTAATAACTCTGGAAACTGATGCTATATATATATGTGTATGTATATATACTTTTTCTTTTCCCTTTTTCCCCAGTTGTCTGGAGTGGCAAATATTTCCATGAATCATATTTTATAAATGACCTCCAGGGAGTTGTTTATTCATCTTTTTATTTACATTTAGTGGATATAAATCTTCGAAGTTAAGCTTAGTTCCTTATGACCAAAGATGCCTCCTGTTGTGTGAAATCTCCTAAACTGGTAGCTATAAAGAGAGCTTGCTAATCAAATGGTAGGAAACATAGAATTGAATTTGTTGTTGATCTAAGAGGCTGGTATCACTTGAAGTTGAGCCCATCCGTACTAGCTATCTGATGGTTTGTGTGAAAGGTTCTAACTGGTGCTGTAGGGATATATTCTGCTAAGCTTGATCAGTAAAGAGTTCCTAGTATTTTGATGTATGAACAATTAGTGTGCTTAGTCAACGAATAGTTGGTAAGACTTATCAAAAAAAAAAAAAAAAAATATATATATATATATATATATAGTTGGTAAGACTTGTAAGATCAATTTAATGTGATGGGCATCAACCCCATCTTGAAAATTTTGAGTACCTTCCCTTTCCATTAACTATTTTGTATCTCAACCTGCAAATTCAACTACTGATTTTCACTTTTGGTTTTTACTCTCCAGATCATGTCATTAGTGGACATATTCAGAGCAAAAATTGTTGATATATCAGAACACTCACTGACTATTGAGGTGACTGTCTTCTTATTCCTTCCTTTCTTTATGTGGTTGTTTATAAATAATTTCTGGGCTGTGATTTAATCTCTTTTAGTCTAAGAGAGCTGTGCTTTTCCAGCTTGATGCTTTTCTCTATCAGTTTAGTGCTTCCTTGAAAGGACTGTCAGAATGTGTCTGGATTTGGAGGCCGGCCTGTGTTCAATACCTCAAATTCTTGTGCGCTTTTATACAATTTTACTTATCAAAAAAAAAAAAAAAAAAAAAAAAACCTCAAATTCTTGAACTGGCTTTCATCTTTTTAAAATGCCATTTTGGTTGAGGAGGCTGGCTTCGATGGAGTATTTCAATTATCAAAAAGAAAGTCATATAAATCATTTGCTTTAACTTTTTGGCCTTAAATAGAGATAAACAGTATTATGAAGAATGCAGACACAGGAAGAAAAATGCAGACAAGCAGACAAACATGTCAAATTACATCTAAGATATTCGATGGGTAACATTTTTAATTTTCTTTAAAGAAAACGTAGAAGTCATTCCTAGAATGTGTCAAATGGGGTGAAACCCTACTTCATGCAAGTAGGTTCTACCTTATGTCATAATAAAGTCTAGTGTTACAATAAAGTTGTGTTGCCAAGTTTTTTTGTAACAAGCTTGTTTTCAACTTTTCATGTACACAGGAAAATTCATGAACACAAATGTTTAGTTTGATTTAAAGCATATTCTTCTGTTTATATCATCAAAAATATCAATTCGGATTCCAGAAAGATTCAATTAACATAGGAGACATTGCACATGGTGGATCTTTGTGCCTCGTATCATATATTATTTTCATCTGTTGCTTCTATTTATTTCTAATCCTCATTTTAATAGGAAAAATGCATGGAAATCATGGGTAGGGATTTTGCTGGAACCTTATCTGCAAAGTAAGAATCTTGAACATACCCAAAAAAAAGAAAAAGAAAAAGACAAAAAAAGGTTCAGTTACTTGAAAGAAAAGGAAAGTCAACTGGCTGGCTAACACAAACTCTTGGTTAAATAAAATGTACTGGTAGTGGACCGAGTATATTATCTTGAAGTGCTCTAGTTATATAAAACATCTGTTGAATTATTAAATTTTAATCTCCAATTATTTTTTCAAGACTAACCATGCAATTAAAAAATAGTTCTTTTTATTGTGGTTGACTTAGGTCACTGGAGACCCTGGAAAGATGGCTGCTGTTCAGAGAAATTTAAGCAAGTTTGGAATCAAAGAAATTGCAAGAACTGGAAAGGTCAGATATCGACCTTTTAAATGCTTGAGATATACGTGTATAAGTACTGCTTGTAAGTTCCACATCAAAACATTTCTGAAATATTAGCCATGGTATGTTTTGAGTTAATGTTTTCAATTTATTGGAATCTTAAGGGAGAGGGTCCAGGAGGTTTTTTTTTGGATGGGGGGACTTCTCTGTTTGTATGTGCCTCCACTAATATTTCAATCTTGAACATCTATCACGGTTATGATGGTCAGTTATGGTGACTATCCATATGAAGGTGTCTCTTGATATGAAAATATAGATAAGAATTTGACTTGTATTGTTTTTCCTTCAGAATGTCTATTTCATGATTTGATATTTGAATTTGGTGCAATCCACAGATTGCTTTGCGACGGGAAAAGCTGGGTGAGACAGCTCCTTTTTGGAGATTTTCTGCAGCTTCTTATCCAGATCTTGAAGGGTCAACGCCTGTTGGTGCTCTTTTGGAGAACACTAGTAGACCAGTAAATGGCAATATAAGTACCTCTTCAACGGTACACACTTCTCTATCCCACTGAGCAGGCTTTTCATGCTACTCTTTTCATTATGCATGTGTTTTGAGGTCACTCTTGTATGCATGAACCTGGGTGTTCTATGGGGTTATATAACCTGTAGATTCTTATAAATAAGCATTAGCTCTTTAACTCTTGGACAGGCTTATCAACTCTGTTCATGAAACAAGTGTCCAGCATGATACCAAATCTATACTGAAACTATTATAAATCCCGAGGCTGATATCTGTTTGGATAATCAACATAAAGTTTATGCTAGTACTTGCAGAACAATATTGTTGATTTCTTGAAATTAGCATTGAGTTTTACCCAAAAAAAGAAAAAGAAAAATAATAAATGAACAAAGAGGTTTGTGTAGTTATTTTATTTTTTATAATTATTTGGACTATCTTGGATTATGCAAATTTATTTTTATTCTTTATAATTATTTGAACTATCTTGCATTGTGCAAATAACTGATGAATATTTTCTTTTTAACAAGTACAATATCTGTAATAACATCTAAAGTTTAGAAATTTTCAGTTCTACGTGATTGGTTAGACAACATCCAATCAATATAAGTATTTCCATGCACCATTGATCTTGTTTTTATCTATTTTCTTCCCCTTAAGTTTTGGTAGATCATCCAGTGTTTAGTTTTTATGAAGTTTTGATGCTTATTCCCTGTACTAAAACATAGAGTTGGTCATACTGGACAGTTTCTCTTTTGATGAATTGTGTTTTATCTAGATTCTGGTAATAAAAGTGCTAGCCCAGTGCACGAGGCTCTCGCCAATGCAGGGCCTGGGAGTGTTAGATGTGCCCAGGCTTACCTCCGCAAAGGACAATGTCGTTTAACTTTGATGAATTTGCCGTACCGTGTACCAACTTAAATTGAGAAAGAAAAAGTTTATATTGAATGTTTGTGTTAGTGGATGGACTTGATTTATTGTTATCCAGGTTCTCTTTTTCTGCACAGTCAATATCGTACCTTACCAAGCTAGAGTAGATGCAATATCTGATTCATCAATATTAATTTTTACTAATCCTTTCCCACACTTTCCTGAGTCTGCAACTTTAGAATGCTTTTCTTCAGTTTCTGGATAGTGTATCCTTTTGTTCCAAATTATTATTAATTAATCATTTATATTTATTTATTTTTATATGAAGGGCGATGTTTATCCTGTGGAGCCTTATGATGACTTCTCAGTGAATCAAGTTCTTGATGCTCATTGGGGTGTTCTCTATGATGAAGATGTAAGAAATCTAATTGCCACTAGAGATTTTTTAATTACAATTTCTTTTAACTAATGACATTTGGAATTTTTAACTTGTACTTGGCAGAAACTCTTCATAACCTAAGGCCATCATAACTTAAACTGTTAGCAAATATTCAATTTTGTTTTACAACACTTGTTTCAATTGAAAAATACAACTTTCAGAACTATGGGAGATCGTCAGTTCAATTCTGAATTTTAAATTAATTAAGTCATTGACTTTTATGACCATTAAATTTATTATAGAGTAGGTGATCTCAATCTAATTCTAAATTTAAATCCCATTTGATGAATAGTGCATTCTAATACGTTGATTCTGATATTGCAGTCAACTGGGCTTCGCTCACACACTTTATCTATTTTAGTTAATGACTGCCCTGGAGTTCTCAACATAGTTACTGGGGTTATAGCTCGAAGAGGTTATAACATTCAGGTCACTTTGTCTTCAGTGATGCCTTTTTTTGTTAAAAAAAAATTATTTTCTTTCTGATTTATGTGACTTTCTGATGTGGTCGATTGTCTCTAATTGCTGGTCTCAGAGTCTAGCTGTAGGGCATGCAGAAAAGGAAGGGATTTCTCGCATTACTACTGTTGTTCCTGGAACAGATGAATCTATTGGCAAGTTGGTTCAACAGTTGCACAAGTTGGTGGATCTTCACGAGGTGAGGGAAAAATCCTTAGATGTGTTGAAACAAACTTATCTGAACTAGAATTTAGCTTCAAGTGCTCAAGAGGCCTCTCCAAAGAAACTACTTGCTCCTGAAATATGCCATGCCATACTTCCATGTTATTGACCATCTAAACAATGGAATAATAGTTTATGATTCCTGAATTACATGTTACTATAAACAAACTCATTCATTTCCCTAATGTTTGGTTTTGCGTACTCAATTTGTGGATAATTTAGGAACTATTAGCAACATTCAAGATTATTTTGCATTTTTTAATTTCATGCTGTAAATCAGGGTTGCTTTTGATAATGAAAAGTAAATTTGTACTTCCGATCCATTTTCTCAAGATTTTGAGGATTTTGTCACAATCTGATGACTCCCTTTCTCAATTTTTTGTGAATTTGTTACAATCTGATATGTGTGCTGCCCACTCTCCCTCTCCTAGATGCCTTTGTTTGATGGAATTGTACAAAGAAGGCCATCAATCATGTAGTTGGTTGTATGCTTTTGAAGAATTTATCTTAAGCCTTGTGGTTTATTTTATATTTATAAACATGTAACTTGAAATTGCAATTACTAACAAGTAATATGACGGCTGTTTGTTTAGGTTCGAGATATTACCCACTTGCCATTCGCAGAGCGGGAGCTGATGTTGATAAAGGTTGCCGTGAATGCTGCTGCTAGGAGGGATGTCCTTGATATAGCCGGGGTTTTCCGGGCCAAAGCTGTTGATATGTCTGACCATACAATAACACTAGAGGTGAAATTTCGTTCTAAAATATGCCGTTATCTTCTTCTTCCTTCTTTTTTATTTTTCTTTATAAAAAAAAATGCACTTTTGCAATTTACATTGATGACTGCAATATACGTGTAAGGATTGGGAAGGGGCCCTACTCTGTTTATAAATTACATTTGGGGGTGGAGGAACTAAATCCTAACTAGTTACTTCAAAAAAGCCTAGCTTGTTCCATTGGAAACTTTTAGTAAAAGAACTGTTATAATGCAAAAACTTTAATGAGCTCAGCTTATAGGACCCACCAGTCCGAAAGGAGGACAAACTTTATTAGCTCCAGAGTAGATGTAGCCCGGTAGAAAATCTGTCTACTATAGTCAGTAAGGATCTAGAAAACTTAGATCATGGCCAAAATCATGCAACTTTCGATTTTAAAGAAAAATTCTACAAATTCCTGCAAGAATGGTCAAATAACCCTAGCTTTGGGGCTTGTGATTTGTCACGCCCCAAATTTCAGTTTCATAGACAACTTGTCGAACACTCAACCTTTGGCGTGATATGAATTATCGTTCATCCATGTACATGAATAAACCACCATTTCCACAACATGGGCAAATACTGAATAAAATCAACCTTACTTTTTACCAGCATAAAGGTCTATAACTTATTCTCATCAGCACACTACGAACATCACAAGTTCAAAATACATTATTCTGCCAAAGCGAATCTCTACTACTAGAATTAAAATAGCTAAGCAATAAAGACGATGTCCACCTGAACTCATTCCTGCTGCTTTGTTGTTTTACCTGGAATGTTAATAAGTTATAGACCAGTCACCACTACGTGCCTATAACTTATTAACAGTGGTTAGTTATATCACTTAACCACTGTGAAAAGCAGATCATGTACCTAGAGACTCAAGGAGAGTGTGATGAATTGATTTGAGTCAAGACGGTAACTAAGGGGTTAGGATTTGGGAACTGTAACCAAGGTAATAAACCTTCTTTCTCACAGTGGATTCAGTTTGTTGGACCAAGTCCCGTTATTTTTCCAGATTGGGTTTTTACGTGAAAAATATTTGTGTCCATCTTTTACTGCTTCAATTGTTTATACATGCTTGGATGATGGGCCGAGTGATTTTTATATTTGTGCCAGAATTTGAATTTCTATTAAATTAGTTCAAATTTAAAAAGCAATTAAAATTCGGTAATCAAATCCATAAGACCTATTCATCCCCTATCTGGGCCTACATCATGGACCTTGCGTGACTCTCTATCAGTTCTCGGGTTCCTGTCTTACGAACCTTCAGAAGTTTCACTAATAACAAAAAATAAATATATGCACAAGGGTGTGACTCACCAAAAGATTCGTAGGCATTCCCAGAACCCACAGTCAATCAAAATTTCCAGCGACATCTTAATGGTTTACAGCAAAACCAACAATCCCTAAGGCTTTGTTTGTTGGGTGGGATTTCAAAGACAAGTATTTATGAATAACAGGATTCGGAGATTGACATTTGTCAATGTTTGTTTTCATGTCATGGGATTTCAATTTTCCATAGGCCCCCGAAATCATGTCTTTTGTGGTGTTTTAATAGGCCACATAAAAGCTCACGATCTAATGAATCACACATCTCTACAAATGACAGTGCCTCAAAAGTGTCATCTGATCATCTCACATGTAACTGAAGATTTTAAAAACAGGAAGAGAAAACTGGATTTGCAGACCAAAACCTATGTATTTCTGGAAGAACTTTTTTTTCCAACTGACGAAGGACTTAGGCTTGTAATGTGCATCCTAGAGTTTTGAAAGCATTGTTTCAACTGTTCTAAAATTGTTTTCTTCACCGGGCAGTAAGAGTATTTATATAACACATTAACACAAGGACAGCAAATATACAAAACGACTGATTTAAGAACTAGATTTGAATCTCATCATTTATGATTTTCCATAACATTGGAATTCCGCCCCCACTAAAGAGAGCAATCTGATTCAATTCGAGTACTTCTTCAAGATAGAAACAACTCCCCCTCCTCCCCCAAACATCAAAAAAAAAAAAAACAATAGAAAAAAGAAATGAGTTCAATGAACAATAAAATTTCTAAACCTGAGACATTTTAAAGCTGCATGAAGATTTCAGTTTGCAAAAGCAGATTAGGGTGTTAATTTTTTCAACGTTTCCACAATAAATGGGGTGTGTGTGTGTGAGGTCAATAGGAGTTAGGTTGACAAGTTTCTTTATTTCTAATTTCAAAGATTCAGCTTGGGTATAAAGGTAAATTCAACTCTCCGTTGTGCACTCAACAAATTTGGGTTTCATATTCATGCATTCTCATTATCATTATTGTTTAGAGTTTAAATTAAACATGTTTTGATCCTTAAAAAATATTTTGAATTGAAAATTCTAGAATAACCGAACTGCAGGAAGTTAAATAAATCAAACTATGTGGAAGACAGTTTCCGAAAAAGGTTTTAAACTCATAAACTCTAATCCTTTTTAGCGTCAAAGGTCTACGGCCCTTGTGTTTTTTGGGAAAACACAGCAAACATATTAAAGCATAATGAGACTTTCTTAGAGCATCTTGAGTATATTCTAGCCAAAAAAATTGCTAGAACTTTTGTTTCATCATCAAAATCTAGGTGGTGAATATTCCCAAGTGTCGATCAGCTATAAGTGCGTCAATTAGTTCAACAATACAATTCACACAACCTACAAGCATGACCGACTAGTAGAGGAGAGTAATCACGAGTTGAACAGTGAATTGCGTGAGGAGTGGGCTTGTAGATTGACAGCAAAAGTGTCTGAAAAGGAACAACAGGCGTGAGTTAAGTTTTGAGGTAACTTAGGTGATTCAAGGTTCAAAATCTAATATCTAGGTTTGCAATACCTTTCTTCTGATTTTATCTGCCTGGATTAGGTCATGTGTTTTTCTACATAAGAGCTGGGTTCTTGTGTGGCATGTTTATATTTCTACCCTATTCTGAATTTTACTTGTTTAATATTCAGTTTGTGTAAATTAGTTGAAAATTGAAAATTTATGGTATAAGCAGTTGACTTTGTTTTTGAAACTTATTCAGCCCACGTCTAGGTCTAGTCTTGGGTTGTGCTTACTATGGCGTATTAGAGCCAAGGGTGCTGGTCCTATGACAAAACAATTACCAGGACGTGTCCTTTGTTTCTAAAGTTGAAATCGACAATAGTTCAAGTTCCAGTTGTATTGTTATTCTAGTTGGAGCATATCTCATATTGCTGTCTCCACCAAGCCTTTTCTATTTTTCTTTTTCTTTTCTTCTTACTCTTGCTGGCAATTTTGGTATCCGTATTTTTTCCAGCTCACAGGAGATTTGAACAAGATGATTGCACTGCAGGGATTATTGGAGTCCTATGGCATTTGTGAGGTTCGTCTCTAAATTTTCAATTCTTAACCAAATCGCATCCAAATCTTATGAACTAGCATATTAATTTAAGAAATGCTCAAGTATTTTGGTCATATTTCTTGGCTTTGTCCTCAAGTTGTTATATTATTTCTTTAACATGTTTCTTGTTTATGCATTAATTGGTTTCTTTGTATGTGTGTTTGAATTAAATTTTGAACTTCTATCAAGCTGTCTTTTAATTCTTAAAATTTCATTATTAATATTTCAAATTCAAGTGCCTGGACAAAACAAGCACCCAATTTCTTGGGTTGAAAAAGTAAGGAACAAAGAATTGGTGGGCCATGCTCTAGATGTGTAATTGTCTTTTTGATTACATCTGCTCAACTGAGCCTAATACGGACTTCTTGGAGTCTTTACCTAATTGTATCATCGGTAAAATTGATTGTCGTCTTGTCCTTCTCACAACCTCAACTCAAATTTCTCTTTGGTTTTTTTTTCACCTTTTATACCTTCGGATTGACCAAAGTTACTCCATGTTGACACGTTAATTGGTCTTCATTAAATAAGACTGGGGTGTCTAACATTACATGAACATGTGCACCCATCTCTTGTGGTCTTTGGCAAAAACTATTTACTTCATTATAGAATAGTTGGGTTGCACCAAGGGGCATTAGTTCTCTTGTTGAAATCTCTTCTGGAGTTTTTACGCACTCTTGCAAGAAAGCCTAGAGTATAGGGACAAGTGATTGTAATCAGATTGACCGGAGGACCAATTTTTATTCTTTTAATACTGTTATGTCAGCTTTATGAAAGCCTGCCTATGATAAGAACTGAATTCCCTTTAAATTAGTGTTTTCTTGGAAGCCGGATAAATTTGGTATAGGAGTTGTATTTAAAGATAACAACACTGTTTTTCTTTCCCAAGCCTGCAGGTTGTGAGTTCACTCATTGCTATTAAGGGTGAGATTTTAGGTCTCACAAAGCCTTGGAGGTGTCTATACTTTAAATATTCATCATTGTTTTGTCGAGGCTGATGCTGAGGTTTTGTATTAGGTTGGATGAGATGTTGATCCTCGGGCTCTTGACATTGTGGTGAATTTTTGAGAGTTGGGGGATATATTTGGTGCTTTAGGAACGGAGTTTTGTTGTCCGCCAATCAGTAGGCTGATTTCTTGGCTAAGAGGAGAGCCTCTGATTTGGTGCCATTGGCAGTCATCTGCCGAGCTCCCTCCATGGTTAGGGCAGTGGGACTATGGGTTGACTCTGTAGGTTCTGTACAAGTAGTTTACTCTATTATTTTGTTTGTTTCTTAGCTGCCGCCTTCAATGATTCAATTATACGCAAATTTATACTGATTTGTTTTTCGTTGATAATATATTTTGTTTATTATTTAAAAATATTTTCGTGAGAGAGAGCCTTGGCATAACGGTAAGGTTGATCTATTGTGACCTGAAGGTCACGGATTCGAAATAAGAAAACCACCTCTCTGCATGCGAAGGTAAGGGTGTGTACATTTGACCCTCCCCAGAACCCGCAATGGCGGGAGCCTCGTGCATTGGGTTTGGCCTTTACCCTATTAAAAAACATTTTCAGCGCTGATTTTATTTGATCTAATGTATTTCTAGCACTGTATCATTTTCTGTCTCTTCTTCCTTTTGTCTTTCTCTGATTGCTTGACTGTGACATCTCCTTTGAAGGTGGCAAGGACTGGCCGGGTGGCATTGGTGCGGGAGTCGGGTGTGGATTCTACGTACCTCCGGGGATATTCTCTTCCATCGTAGTACTGCCTGGATTGCAATAGCTAGTAGTTCTTCTCTTTCTCGCAAAAGGGAAAAAGAAACTCAACGATGTTTCATTATCCTGCTTTTATGTTAGCTGGCTGGAAGAGTAGGGTTACGTTGTTCATCAAACTTCAGATGAATAGGTGCTCGAGAAACTGGGAAATTTGATACTTCATCATAAATTTTCTACGTTAATACCATTATGTTATACCATCTGTACTAATGACATTATATTATCCATTCGATTTCGTTCTTTTAGTAATCTTAAACTATAATTTTCTTGTTCTCCGAGTTGTTGTTGTTTTTTTTTTTTTTTTTTTTTTTTTTTTCTCGCTCTCTTCGGTATTCAGGGTCTCAACTCTCAAGCGAGATAAACTGGATTTGAGTGGATGCTAGCCTGGTCCCCAATTTTTATAGAAATAGGTTCCTATGAAATACTTCAATTTTTATTCTCTATTTGGGGTATTTTCTTTTATCCTTTTGGGTCAGGTTGGATAGTGTTCATGTACCATAAACACAGAAAGACACGTTAAATTTAAAAAAAATAGGATGCGGGTACAGAGTGGGCACGGTTACATATAAATATAAATATTTATTTTTATATATTTATTCAGTAATAGGGTTATAAAACTTTCATTAATTTATAATTTCTATACTAAGGTTGGTCTGAAATGAATTAGAAAATGATATTATGTCTTTAGTGTAATGATTTTTATATCATATGTATTAGTATTTAACTACTTTTTACTACTTTGTCACGATAGTATTCATATTATTTTCAAAATTAGTGGGTAGAGTTGTGTTAGAAATGTCTGAGAAGTGTTGACGAAGTGTCAGCAAAGTGTATAGAAAGTGTCAATGAAGTGTTCGAAATAATCAAATTAATTTTTATTTATGGACGTGTATATGAAATGTCGGACACATATCCGAGGAATGTCGGTGTCGTGCTTCTTAGGTATTCATCCTTAAAAATGAAGATAATAGAACATTAAGGCCCTGTTTGGCAACCATTTTTTCTTTATTGTGTTTTTCTTTTGTTTTTGATCTCGCACTAGCAAAGTGAAATCCGGAAAGCATGTTTTGATAATATTTGCTTTGATTTGACGGGAACATATATGAAAAGAGGCAAAACTCGGAGAACACCAAATTAGTTGCTTTTGTACGGTAACAAAAACTCTGTAGCGATGAACCGAATCCAAAAAAAGAGAAAAACTCTTCAATGACCTTTAAATAGTCATTTTATTTTTAAAAGTGGCAACAATTTTTTAACTGACATGTGTTTCATTTTTTTGCTTTTAAAATTTTTGCAACAAATGTAATGTTATGAAACATGTTTTTAATTATTATTGAACATACTTCACGGCACAAACACTATTATGTTTTGGGTCAACACAAAAACAGTAAACAAAAGCGGATTTAAGTGTATTAAAAAAATAAAAAGTGATTCATGAAATTCAAATATGAAATCATAGAATATTTTTTTCAGCAATTTGATGATGTAGTTCTAGTTTGTTTTTTTCCCTTTGAAGTCACTGTCTAACGTGGTTGTTCCTTCACTATTATCTGACCATTTTTTTGGTTCTATCCTAATCCGACTCCGAAGGGAGTCTAACTAGATAAAATAATGAATGAACAGGCAAGTTAGCCAACTACATAAGTTTCGCATATATATATATATATATATATATATATATATATATGAGTATATTTTAAAACAACAAGTTGATCCGAGTTTAGGGAGACTTAATTTTATTCGCGTACAACAAGAAAGAAAGACAGAGCACATGGACACGGGTGAGTTTGATAGAGTAGTCAATTTGAGTGCTTATCACATGGACAGACAAAACACATTATCAGACTTTTTTATTTATTTAATTTTTTTGATAATTACACATTAACAGTCCTTTATCTTTCGCAATGGATAAAAAATTGTGTTTAGATACTAACACTCCTTCGATGCTATCAAATATGCATCATACTTTCTGCGTGTGTTCATAATTTTGAAATGTACATCAGTACATGTATTTTTATTTATATGATATATTTGTCAGATATTTCGATTACTTATTGCAAACTTTTTAAATTTTTTAACGAGTTTTGAATATTAAATGTAATTTTTTCATGCATGATTATACTTTTGTAAGTATGATATGAATATTAATTTTCGGGTAAATTATAGTGATATTTTTTGAAATTTGAACAAATTACACATAAATGGATTATTTAGTGCTTTACTTTGACATCTCTTGAAATTTGACATGTAAACTTAGCGATACACTACCGTTTTCTTCCTGATATAATTATTGAAAAAAATTTATAAAATGGGAACTTTGCCATACTCTTGGATAAAAATGAAATATAATTTATTATTATGGGCATTATTGACTTTTTACATTCAAAGTCATTTTGTGACGGTTAACTAATGAATTTAAAGTAATAAATTAACTATAGTGTATAATTTGTCCATTGGTCAAGAAAGATCAGTATAATTTACTCCTAATTTTTTTACATATAAAGATACTACAATTATTGTGTATCTTTGCCGAATCTGTATTTATTTTTTTTTATAAAAAAAATTGCTTTATTATTCATAGATCCAAAGCAACATGGATTTTATGACTAAACAAACTAATTCCATCACTCCAATTTCTTATCATTATTTTATTCTATATAAATTGAAATGTAAATTTCCCAATATGATAGGGGCATTTAATGAGAAGTGAAGACAGGGGTAGTCTGGTCAATTGATGATGTAAGAATCCGTTGGGTCATAATGGCGGGATATGATATATTATATTTCCCACCAATTTAGTGCCGACAAAATGCCCTTCACACACTCAGCGCGCACACAGCCTGTTAAGTAATAGTACAATAACTACAGTACTGTACAAATCCACCTATCAAAACCCACAAAGAAATAACCAAATTAATTATATATATGTATGTACACACACACACACACACACACGTGAGTGTATATAAAGGAGACCCATTAATTGAAATGTACTGTAATTACACTCGTCTTTTTCTTCTTAGCTCCAGATTCTCTTCTATTTCTCTATTAGGTGCTCCAAACTAATATTCATTTTTCCTTAAATTGTTGGCTTTATCTTGTCCAAGAATTCAGATCTATATAGCTAGCTCTCTCTCTCACACACTCACAGCCACACACTTGATATGCCATTTATCTGACTCTGCCTGTCAGGAAATTCAAGAATTTCAGGTTCAGAAATTGAACTTGGAAATACCCACATTATTCTCTTCAGCATTAGGTGAGTTGTGGTTTCTCTCTTTCTGGTTTTGGTCACTGTTATGTATATAATATGCATGTGTTTATGCTTCTCTGATTTATGTATTCTTCTTCTTCTTCCTCATTATCCTTTTATATGCTAAGAAGTAGGAGAATGGCGCAAAATTAAATTTGATGGTTTTTTTTTCTTCATTTTATATTTTGTTGATAGAAACTCACGTTATCTTAGCCAGACATATGAACTAGGCTGAGCAGGATTGGTGTTTTTATTTGTTTCTTTGGACCCAAAATAGTGGACATTCTCTCATCAAATATACCATAAAAAGAAAAGAAGTCAGGCTCTCACTTTTTTACTTTCCCCTAAATGGGCTTGCTCCACATGGAGTGCTACAATTTATGTTTGTTCTTGAAATTTAGTTACTTATCAGCATCACCAAATGGCAACCCCTGAATTCTGATATTTGCATATTCATTGTATCTTTTCTTTATTTTGGACACTTTTGCCATTGTATATATGCAAACAATCATATATTTTTGACTTCCTATACCAATGGGCATTAGCTCAATGGTATAATGGGAGATGAGGGGTTCGAGTTCTGCAGTGAGCAATTTGTGAAATGTGCGTGTGAGTACTTACCTAACCAAAAAAGAAAAGAAATCTTGTCATTTATTTCCCCACCTTCTTCTTTTCTCTGATGGGTGTAGTTTTTTAATGACTCTCTTTCAAGTTGAAGGACCTGTGATTTATGTGCTCACAGCTCTTGCACAAACATTTTCAGTTAATATTATAGAGTTTGATTTCTCAGTCTTCTCTGATTTTGCTTGCTAGATTTTTGAAATGGGGAAGATAGTGGTCCAAATATTTCTTCTTGGACTATTCCTTCAAGTCCTTGCAGTATCTGCTGTTGATACCAATCGCCTTAACATATGGCCGATGCCAAAATCAGTGAGCCACGGACATTCGACTCTTTATCTAAGCAAAGACTTTGAGCTCAAGACTGATGGAAGCAAATATACTGATTCTTCTGGAATATTGAAGGATGGATTCTCTAGATTACTTGATATCGTTGAAGCTGCTCATGTTATTGACAGTAACTTAACCGATTCTGATCAGCCAGTTGTGCTCCAGGGACTCCATGTTGTTGTTTTTTCGCTAAATGATGAGGTATTGTTTGGACAAAGATTGCACTAGCTTTCTCATTCTATTGGACAGGGAAGACTTTAATTTATGGTTTGGGGTGTCTGTGTGTGCTAAATTTCTTGTTTATGTTTGATGTCATTATTCATTAGTAATACATACTCGATTTTGGGACATAGAATGTTCTATTTTCTCCAAGAAATCAAGATTTTTTTTTTAGATTTGCACTGTATAGAATGCTCTGATTTTTGTTTTTCTGTTTTCTATTTTATATAAAAGTCACTGATGACATTGATATATCTTACTAATATTACTTGATTCAGTAAAAATCTAGTAAATTTTATATTTAGGCATTATAAATGTTTTTTCCCTTTCCCCTCTATGTCGAATTTTCTACAAAATTATGTTTGAAATTTGGAATGAAGATAATCCTTAGAAATAAGAAAAATGTGAGAGTTCGTGTTTCTCTATTTATTTATTTTTTGGGTTCACATTATCTTATTTATTGAGAGAATTTTGTTGAGCTTCAGTTCCTAATAACAGGGTATTACACCCTTATAAGAACTTGGAATAAAATGGTGTCCTAACTTTGTTAGCAAATTGAGATTAAAGAACCAAAAATGTTTTTCTTTTAAGATATGGGCACATTATCTTTCTTGGTCTCAAAACTTCATTTTTATTACATATTCATCACTGAAATTCCATTATGTGATCTATTTGGCATACTTTGTAATTTGGTTCCTCTATTTATTTTATAGTTCTAATGTGATTTTTTTAATTGAACTTATTGTTCTCTGCAGTTACAATACGGTGTTGATGAGTCATACAAGTTATCTGTTCCTGCAAATGGAAAACCAGTATATGCACATCTTGAGGTGGGTCATGAGTATGGCTCAAGTTTGCTTTATCTATTCCTGCATATTAATGTGCATTTTTCCTTTATTTAAAATTTCTGATCGGCTCAATTTTGAAAATGCAGGCACAGACAGTTTATGGGGCTCTACATGGGCTGCAGGTTGCATATTCTCTCTTGTAGCACTCATAAAAGTTGCTGATTTTGAATTTATGAAAGACGTAATTGGATCTTACAACTATTCTTTTTGGCATGAAATGTTACAGACATTCAGCCAATTGTGCCATTTTAACTTCACAAGCAGAGTAATTGAAGTTCATCAGGTCCCATGGACCATTGCTGATCAGCCAAGGTTCTCTTATCGAGGGCTTTTAATTGGTGAGATGCTTTTGTCATTACCCTACTATATGTCTGTCCAATGATTAGGATATACAGATGGTTGTTTTGGATACATCCTTTATTTGTTGACTGATCATTAATTTTGTCTCTTTCCTATAAGGAAATTATTTTTATTAATTGAGTCAGGTGTGGTTGGTAATGATTCTGTATATATCTATATGTGTGTGTGTATATATATATATATATATATATTTTTTTTTTCTTTCTATTTAGGAATTATATGAATCACTGATGTTTTGAGTCCCATGCAGAAATTCAATTGGGTATATTTAATTAGTTTAAGAATCCAAATTGGATACACCGGCATTTAAAGTAAGCACGGTTAATTATTTGTTGTTCCACTGGTATAAAGTAATTTTAACCCAATCTCTTATTGGTTTACAAACTGAGAGATGTTGCCTTCGCTTACATAATTAGGGTACTGATTGAGAGCATGGGAGCATTGGTCTTACAAGATTGTTGGGTTCAGATAGTCTCAAGAGTGTCTTTATATGTATCATGCTGTTATGTAAATTATTAGCATCATGTCATTTTGTATTTAATATTTTCTTAGTTAAGTCACCATCATCTGTTGTCTTGGGTGCTATCTCCTTCAACTCCTTAAGAGGGAGGTGCAACAGTTCAGGGATCATGTCTCGATCGGGACATAGGCGTGGGTTTTTCTTATAAAAACAATTTAATTATTAAAGAAAGTTCAGTTAATTCACAAAAATTTAAAACAACAAGGTGGGAAAAATGTAGAAGCTTGTAGATGACAATGGAAATGATAGTCCGATGGTTGTGGATTCTAATTACTGAACACTTGAAGAAACTAATTTTTTTTTTCTCCCAAATGGTTCCATCTTAGTGATGTGTAATGTGTTCCTTAATGTGTTTTTGTAGTTACTAGGAAGTTGCATGGATATTAATGTAATAAAACGTGAGGCTGCGACACCCATCAGTCCAAATGAAAAGAATTTGAATGATAACACACTAATATCAAATAGTTTTCTATTGGGTCTATGGCTGGAACAAATGAAAATTTTGGATTCTAGTAATTACAAAAGTTGCAACTGAATTAACATAGAAGGCACAGTCTATTCTTAACCTCCCACCGGGCACTTGAATATTGCCCTTACGTGCTACAAAGAGTCATTCTTCTGGATAAGTTAATGCATTTTACATACAAGAGCACAGGCAGGGGGGCAACCGTGCAAATATGAAGTACATAGGAGCAAAAGGGATTGGCACTTTTTATACAACTCAAATCAGTTATAAAATATGCTGAGTGTCTAGAGCCTGAAAAACTCATAGAAAGCCAGAAACAAATAGTGATCCTCATCATAAATTTAAGCTTAGAGTTGATAGTGTTCAAAAAATGGCATACTTATTCATATTTTGTTAATAAGAAATAGATTATATTTAAGATGTGTTAGAATGTTTATGTATATATATATTTATGTTGGGTCATTATGTAATTTCCCATAGTTGTTAGGATCATTGTGTAATTAGGTAACCTTGTATAATTAGGTTATTACTTTTCCTTTATATAAGCCACTGTAGGCTTAAGGGTTAATATATACAATACACAGTTTTGCTCTCTCTCTCTCTCTCTCTCACTCTCTCTCATGAATTCAAACATGGTATCAGAGCAATATGAATTCATGGGTGTGGGAAATGGCAAGTGTGTTGTTCTTGTATAAGATTGGAATCGCGATTGTGGTGTTGTTCTCTCTGCCGGAAGTTTGGTCGCCGGTCGGATTGAGAGCTCCTTGTTCGTCGTCCTCAGATCTAAAGCCTCATTCGTTGTCGTCAGACCTGAAGCCCGTTTTGCTGCTCGTGTTGTTGCCATTTTGGTTGTCAGCGAGCTTGCCGACATCTACCGTCGTAATTTGCAGAGGTGAGTTCATCGATTCGTGGTTCTTTTTGGCCGGAAGTTGCAGAGGTTCTGATTCGGTGTGGTCGTTGCTTATTGATTCGTCTGCTGCTTGTGACTGGGTCGCCGAAGCCTTCGCTTTGTTGTTCCCCGGCGTCTGTGAAGGTGTGAAGAAGAAGAACCGTGTTTGGCTACACGGTTATGTTATTCCAACCTTGGTTTACTAAAACCGGGGATAGCAGAGATCCTGCCCGTTTGGCCAGATCCGGCCAGAATACAATTTCTGCGTTTTTTTTTTTTTTTTTTTCCAGGTTCTTTTTTTTTTCTTTGGTTCTTCTCCATGGCTGCCAGTTCCGATCTGTTATCCTCTGCCTCTTTCAATCCTCCCATGACTTCGGTTAAGCTCAATGGCAAAAATTACATCTTATGGGCCAAGTCAGTGGGCATTTTCCTGAAAGCCAAAGTTGACACTCATTTGGTTAAGGATAAACCTAAGGACAGTGATGCTGATTTCAGTTCATGGGAACAAAGGGATGCTCAGATCATTTCTTTAATGCTGAATTGTAGTGAACCTCATATTAGCTCCAACTTGTTGTATTTGGACACTGCCAAGGAGATACGGACCAGACTCCAACAGTTATATTCGGGTACTGGCAATATAACCAGAATTGATGAGGTGTGCAGACAATTCTTTGACCTCCAACAAGGTGCTCACAGTCTAGAAGAATACCTCTCACGGGCAATGGGACTTTGTGAAGAAATGAACTTGTATCAACCCATCACCTTTGTTCGAGCACAGATTTTGGGTAGCCCTGCACTTCTCTCTCATCCTGATTTGTTATCATGACTCCAGCGTGATCAAGTGGCGCTTCAGGAGGTTCTTCAAGTGGTGTCACTGCTCCTCCTAGCAATGAACGTTCTGCCTTAGTTGTGGATGAGGGTGGCTTTCAGTCTTCCCGTGGCGGTGGCGGTCGTTTTACTGGTGGTAGTGGTCGTGAAACCGCAACCTTCTTCCTATGCACATCAAGTTACTTCTAATGAAGGGGATTCTTCGTTCTCTGCCACACCCCCTGCTCTACACGTGACTGTTGAGTCTGCTATGATTACGATTCCCTGCGATGAATATGCTCAGTTTCTGTCTCAACAACGGTCTTCCACCTCATCTTTCATGGTTTCCTTTGCCTAATCAGGTAGTGCCTCCGCATGTCTCTTGTCCTCTCGTTAGAGTCCCTGGATTCTTGACTCTAGCGCATCTGATCACATGACTGGTAGTTCTCATCTCTTATCTGATTTTCAGTCTGTTCCTTCCTTTCAAAGTGTTACTCTTGCTAATGGCTCATCAACTACAGTTTTAGGTTTGGGAACTGTTCATGTCACCTCTTCTATGTCCCTTTCCTTTGTGTTATATGTTCCTCAATTCCCTTTTAATTTGTTGTCCAATAGTAAAATTACTAAATCTCTTAACTGCTTTATTACATTTTATCCTACATGTTGTATTTTTTAGGATCTCAAGACGAAGAAGAAGATTGGTAAGGGACATGAAGTAGTTGGCTTGTATTGCTTCGATCTTGCACCATCTCCCACGGCTCATCAATTATCTTTTGTCTTCTTTCCAGTGGCACTGTCGTCTTAGCCACCCATCCTTATCAGTTTTGCAACATCAAGTCCCTGGTCTTAGTCGTGTTGAGTCCATGTCTTGTGAAGCATGTCAGCTTAGTAAGCATTGTCGTATATTTTTCAAACTGAGAGCTAGTAATCGTGTTCCTAGTCCTTTTCAGTTAGTTCATTCAGATGTATGGGGACCAATAAAACATATTTCTATTAATGGATTTCGTTATTTTGTGACTTTTGTGGATGATCATTCTCGTATGACTTGGTTATTTTTTATGAAAAATCGTTCTGAGTTGTTTTCTATTTTTCAAATATTTCGCAAAGAAATAAAAACTCAATTTGGGTGTTCCATTAAAATTTTACGTTCTGACAATGCCAAAGAATTTTTAACGGACCCTTTTGAGACTTATTTCCATGCTAAAGGCATCATTCATCAATCCTCTTGTACTTATACTCCTTAACAAAACGGAGTAGCTGAACGTAAAAATCGTCATCTACTGGAAGTCTGTCGTGCCCTTTTATTTCATATGCACCCAAACGTTTTTGGAGTGATGCTGTTTTTAAGGCATGTCATCTTATTAATCAGATGCCCTCGTCAGTGTTACAAGGTCAATCTCCTCATTTTGTTCTATTTTTTGACTCCGCATCGTTTAATCTTACTCCTCGGGTCTTTGGATGTGTGTGTTATGTCCATAACCTTAAACTCGGTCTTGATAAACTCGACCCTCGTGCCACTAAGTGTGTTTTTCTTGGCTATTCTCGCACTCAGAAGGGTTATCGTTGCTATAGTCCTCATTTTTAACGCTATTTTACTAGTGCTGATGTCTTATTTTCTAAGTCTCTCCCATATTTTTCTGATTCTACTACTCCTCTCAATATTACTCCTGAGCCACCTTTGCCAATGGTTCCCTCACTGTTTCCTGCTTCCGCACCTCCTCGCTCAGTTGTCCCATTGCAGGTTTATACTCGACGACCTCGACCGCCTACTTCGCTCCCATCTCCTTCAGAGTCTTTGGATCCGACGCCTTTGCCTGATGATTTGCCTATTGCTCTCCGTAAAGGTATTCGGTCGTGTGTTACTGCATATCCTATTTCTAACTTTGTCTCTTACCGTCATATTTCATCCTATTTATCTTGTTTTTTATCCAAAGTGTCTGCTACTTTTGTTCCCAAAACTTTGCAGGATGCTCTCTCTGATTCGGGTTGGCGCCAAGCCATGGTAGATGAAATGGATGCCCTTCACAGTAATCGAACATGGGATCTTGTTCCCTTACCTCCGGGCTCCAAAACGGTTGGTTGTAAGTGGGTTTACATAGTTAAATACCTTCACAATGGGTCTATTGAGCGGTTGAAGACTCGTCTAGTGGCAAAAGGGTACACTCAGACTTATGGTGTTGATTATGATGAGACTTTTTTCCCCTGTTGCTAAGATTTCTTCTATTCGGGTACTTCTTTCCATTGCTGCCAATTATAACTAGCCGTTGTTTCAATTGGATGTCAAAAATGCCTTCTTACATGGTGACTTGGTTGAAGAAGTTTATATGGAGCAACCACCTGGGTTTGTTGCTCAGGGGGAGTATCGTCACACTGTTTGTCGCCTTAAAAAGGCCCTGTAGAAACAATCTCCACAGGCTTGATTTGGAAAATTCTCTGAGGCGGCATTAGAATTTGGCCTTACAGAGGCCAGATCGATCATTCGGTATTTCACCTGCGCACTAAAGCTGGCTTAATTTTTCTTGTGGTGTATGTAGATGATATTGTGATCACAGGTGATGATTCTGAAGGCATTACTAAGTTGAAGTTGTTTCTGCAAAATTGATTCCACACTAAAGACTTGGGTAAATTTAGGTACTTCTTGGGTATTGAAGTTGCTAGATCCAAGAAGGGTATAAGTTTATCTCAACGAAAATATGTGTTGGACTTGCTAGAAGAAACGGGTATGTTAGGTGGTTGTCCGATTGATGCTCCTATGGATTCAAATACAAAACTCGTGTCTGATGAGGGTGATCTATTTAATGACCCGGGCAGATTTTGTCGACTTGTTGGAAAATTAATTTATCTCACTATCACTCGACATGATATTTCATATGCAGTTAGTGTTGTAAGTCAGTTCATGGGAGCTCCTAGAATGCCACATTGGATTGCTGTTCTTCGGATTATCCGATATCTCAAGCAAGCTCCAAGTTTTGGGTTACAATACAAATCAAATGGTCATCTCAGGGTGGAAGGTTTTACAAATGCTAATTGGGCTGGTTCTCCTTCAGATAGGAGATCTACTACAGGCTACTGCACATTTGTAGGAGGAAATCTTGTTACATGGAGAAGTAAAAAGCAAACGGTGGTAGCTCGATCTAGTGCTGAAGCTGAGTACAAGGCAATGGCCCATACCACTAGTGAGTTGACATGGATACAATATTATCTAAAAGAACTTGGGTTAACAGTTGAAGCTCCTACTCCATTGTTCTGTGATAATCAAGCAGCTGTTCATATTGCATTGAATCCTGTGTTTCATGAGAGGACCAAACATATTGAGGTTGATTGTCACTTCATTTGGGAAAAAATATTAAGTGGGAGCATTTCTACTCCATTTGCGAAGTCTGAAGATCAACTAGCTGATATGTTTACCAAAGCATTGGGTCATAATCGGTTAAGGACTATCTGTTCCAAGCTGGGATTATTTGATATATATTCTCTAGCTTGAGGGGGAGTGTTAGAATGTTTATGTGTATATATATTTATGTTGGGTCATTATGTAATTACCCATAGTTGTTAGGATCATTGTGTAATTAGGTAACCTTGTATAATTAGGTTATTACTTTTCCTTTATATAAGCCACTATAGGCTTGAGGGTTAATATATACAATACACAGTTTTGCTCTCTCTCTCTCTCATGAATTCGAACAAGATGCAAATGTGATTGTTCTGACTTATGAAAGAAAATTGTGCAGATACATCACGACACTATCAGCCATTATTGATGATAAAGAAGGTTATTGATTCTATGGCTTACGCTAAATTGGTATGTAAAGCATCCTTTGATTACGTCACTTTAGTCTGTATGTCCCAAGGATCCTTTGGTTAGCTTATTTAAGATGTACAAGATTGTTTTCTTTGGCACCCACTTGTGAGATCAAAGATTTATTTCTTTGCATTTCCTAGAATTCATCTTATGCAGATTTAAAATAAATGCTGAATGGAAGGAAATGCTTTGTTTAGTGGACTCAACTAGTTGCTACTTAAAGATTTCTTGCTGATTTGAGTTCCTATGACTACTATTAGTACTGTTTTGATCCCACTAGGCACTACTTCTAGAGATTAATGTGGAAAAAAATTCCAAATTTATTTACTTAGGATATCAACCAAATATTTTCCTTCTCTGGTAAGTTTCTTACCATCCAGACATTTGTTTGCTTTTGGCAAGAATTTGAAGTTTGACTTGCATTTCAATGACAAAAATTGACCTATTCATCTGTTCCTTTTTTCATTTCATGTAGAATGTGTTACACTGGCACATTGTAGATAAACAATCATTCCCTTTGGAGATATCTTCATATCCAAAACTGTGGAATGGTGCTTATTCTATTTCAGAACGATACACAGCGGCTGATGCTGCTGAAATTGTGAGGCAAGTGATTTCTGCCTTATTTTTTATGCTTAAATTGAAATATTCTCCCCAATTTGTGTATTCCTAATTGTTAACTCTGAGTTTTCACAGTTATGCTCAACGACGAGGGATTAATGTACTGGCAGAAATTGATGTTCCAGGGCATGCTCTCTCCTGGTATTTATGACAAATCTCTATTCTCAATTTCTCTCCATTTCTGATATAAGGTTTTATTTATTTTTTTCTAAAATTATTTATTGTATCAAGGAAAATAACTTTTTTTTTTTTTTCCATGAATGAGTTGGCATATTGTTTGGACTCTTCTTAATGCAAGAAGTATCGACACAGACTCTTCTTAATGTTCCAGGACTCGTATGGGCATGGAATGCCTCTGACATGTCTGCTTAAATATGCACCTAGCAAGAAAATCTAATGATACAATTTTATTACAAAATTGTAGATAAAACTATTTTATGTTCCTTTTGTTACATTATTTATTCAAAACAAATGAAAAACCCATGTAAACATTTTATGTTGCAACAATTTAACTGTAAACCTAGAAATTAGAACAACTTTAAAAAATAGGGTAAATTACTTTGACCTCCTGTGAGTTTTGTAACTTGCACCCTTGCTTAAAACTTTCTCAAAAGTTACATTAATCTCCCCTAAAGTTACATATTCCTTTAGGTGTTAGGGCCCTTAGGGGTCTCTTAAGGCCGTTAATGGATTTTTATTTAAATGCTAGAAAATTCCCTTATATATTACGAAATGACAGAATGTTCAATATATAATTACGAATTAGTTTTGTTAAATTTACACAATTAATTTATAGAATCTACAAATTAATATATTGTTATAACCCCTAATTTTGCAAATTATCTTGCAAAATTTATGCATGTTAGAGGTTATAATCAATTACATGTTATATAACAAACTGTCTTCTTTAACAACCCACCCCACCACATGGTATGATATTATCCGCTTTGGGCCTAAGCCCTCGTGGTTTCATTCTTGATTCTTGGGTTTTACCCAAAAGACCTCATACCATTTGGTGATAACGCTTGTACATATAAGCACTTCACCTTCACCTTACTTAGACGATGTGGGATTGTGCAACCTGTGGTAGCTCACACTCGCCCACGAAGGTCTCCACAATCAACAACCCCATTCATATGAGATTAAGTCAAGGATGATGATGTTGAATCAGCAGGCTCTACAAATCCTAGTGCCTATCACCATCGTCAACCCTCCATTGCCACCAATTCTGTTGTGTAATCCCTGCACCCCCAACCTAGATCACTATTAGTGCTTGAAACAGACACCCCAATCTCTTCTCTCTGGTCTCTGCAGTTCACACTTTTTCTCTTCAAACTGCCATCACCATGGCACCACCTTCACCTGCCACCCTCTTTTCCACCACCTCTCTCTCCTCTCACATTATTCTCTAAGCTAACTCTGCAAAAACTAAATTTGCAAAAATCCCAATTCTGACCCTTTTTCTCTTATATTAGATCAATGATTACAAAGTGAATCTTAAGGGCAAATGATTACAGATGGTGGAGAGGAAAGAGTATGGAAGAGGTTGTGGCAATGGAGAGGAGAAAGGAGGTGGTGGTGGTGAGAGACGGTGTGTGGAGAGAGAGACTCAGTTTCAGGTTGAATGGTTTAAAAATTTCAGAATGTTCACTGTGGCTACTTTTGTAATTTCACCGATTTTATCACACCAGAAACTAAGTTTTTTATTACTATGATAAAATTGCAAATTCACATTGGCCATTTGAAAACAATAGAAAGTTTATAACTGTGACAGGTGAGTTGAGTAATTTCCGTTGAAATTTAAAGCGAGGGTAGATGCTGGACCATAAAGAAAGCAGGGGTGAGAAGATAGAAGAAGAGATAAGGCTAGAAGAAGTAAGAAGACAGATTGAACAAGATAGGCTGATAGGCCGAGGACTTGAGAAGAGCAAGAATGATAAAAGAGAAGAAGATATAGAGAATTCTCTAAAGATCATTTTTTTTTTTTTTTTTTAATAAGTAGAATTCTCTAAAGATCATGATAGTAATAAATAATTTAAGAGTGAATATTTCTTGTTATACAGGCAAGATCATAATCAAAACCATAAAATAATAAATTAGTAAATTATCCCTAAAATGAAAACATAGTCAAAACAACAGAAAATAAATAAAAATTAACCCTAACTATCCATCCTTGCCCTTCTCCAAAAGTAGAGGCGAAAGAAATGCAGCTCATGCGTGCCCGTCATATCTCATTCTCCATCAAGGGGGCAGGTTGGAGTCCATATATTGATGTTGAGAACACCTTTTTATGCAACGGATTATCATATAAATATTTTCACTCCTTTTTTGTTTTACTATTTCTTTCCTTTGGATTCTCCTCCCCTACTTTAGGATTCATGTGATTCCAGATAGGTTTGAAACCTATTCTATGGATAAAACTTCAGTCATAGATGGGTTTGTTGAATTTTCTTGTAGATAAATAAAGAAAAAAGAGAGAACTGATAGGGCATAGTTTGTAAAATCCTGCTAGCTTGTCTAATAATCTTAAAATGACAAAAATGAAGTCCTCTTAAATTAATTTTGGAAATTAATGTTAAAATCTCTTTGCAACTCTAGAGAAAGAGGTGATATTTGCAGTCCTTGAAGATTTCTAAATCGTTACATAAATTTTAGTACAAATTGTGGGAATACAGTTGTTTCATTTAGTTATGATTGGATCTATTCAAGTATCAGTTTCGGAAACAAGTCCCTAGTTTTGTTGTATTTCTTACAAATCTTGTGTAATGCAAGATCACATTTTCACGAATTTTTACTTAACAAAAGAAGAAACAAAAAACATTGTCACAAATGTTACTTTTGAAACACTTTAATAATACCACTGAACTCAGGAACTTTATTCCTCTGCAATTTAGGTCTTGAAAAATCTATGAAGAAAATGCTTTCTTTGTGGCTTGAAACAAAGTAGTTCAGTCTCCAAGAACCTAACAGTTCTTTTTATTTTATTTTTATTTATATCTAGGGGGATTGGTTACCCTAGACTGTGGCCATCAAAGGATTGTCCAGAGCCACTTGATGTCAGCAATGAATTCACGTTCAAGGTAATAGATGGAATTCTTTCAGGTAATGTTCCTATTTCCTAACGAAACTTGTTAGCTTCATTCTACAATGACAAAATAAGAAATAACATTCATGAAATTTCTCACTTTTCAGATTTCAGTAAGATCTTCAAATTTAGATTCGTTCATTTGGGAGGAGATGAAGTTAATACCAGTAAGTTCAATATTTTTTGAATATTTATATTTTATCATACTACATTATAACTATTGTTACATTATCCATGTCAGACAAATATTTTTTATTCTAGCATTGCACTAATTAGATGAGATGACAGAATGTGATTTTCAATTCTGTCAGAATTGATTGTTTTAATTTTGGGGGCATGAAATTAATTTATTTTTGTCTTTGTGTTTGCAAATAACTTTCTTCCCTATTCATTTTGGATGTATGGAAGAACCATCAAAAGTATAACATTTCAAAGAGGTCTCGCTGAATTTGCGGAAATTATTTATATCAACGATACATACATCTATATATATATGTATATATATATATATTCCAAGTTGTAACTCACACACCCACTTTTGTCCCTAATGGAACTTGAACCCTCGACCTTCCACTTAGGAAGGTAGAGGGGATACCTTGTCATCTCTTAAAATGTTGACTCTACCTTCCTTTGCGAAGTTGATTCTCCATTCCTTTGGTTAAAATGCTTGTGATATATATATATATATATATTCCAAGTTGTAACTCACACACCCACTTTTGTCCCTAATGGAACTTGAACCCTCGACCTTCCACTTAGGAAGGTACAGGGGATACCTTGTCATCTCTTAAAATGTTGACTCTACCTTCCTTTGCGAAGTTGATTCTCCATTCCTTTGGTTAAAATGCTTGTGTTAGAAATTGCTTTATCAAGGAATCAAGATTTGAATTCATTGTCCTAAAGAGATTTTAGAGTTAATTTTGTTAAAGCCTTCTCTAGAGACTTAGAGATTGTCTAAAATTCAATAATTCAAGTGCCGCATTATCATCATTAATTCTTCTATGTCATTATGATTTTTTTTAATTATTAACAATTAATAAATATGCATATTTTATGATGTTTCTACTTGCCATGGTGTATGTTTTTACAAATTAAAATGATCAACATGCCTCTTCATATTTGCAGTCTCCTTTGCCATGCATACTTTATCAACATCAGTAGAAATTCCATAAATTATTTTAACCATTTCATGGAACCTGATAACTAAATGATGATTATTCACCAACATGTACAATGGAATGATTAATTTCAGGTTGCTGGATAATAACGCCACATATAAGGAACTGGTAACAAATCTTACGATCCTTTTTGCACATTCTCTGCATTCTTGCCTATGTATATTCTATCGACAGGAGAAATGATATTGGCACTTTAAAAGAAGATTGAGATACTCCACTTTAGTTCTTGTGATATAGGGATTAAAGAAGTGGAGTGTCTTAGGTTTTTTTTGAAGTTTCAATATCATCTTCCTCCATTTATATGATTAAATATATTTCTTCTTTGTTATGTTTTTACCACTAAAAACTTATGGATATCACTGGTACAGTATTTTGGGACTTGAAGCAAAAAGAAGCTTTGGGATGGGCAAGTGGACCCCAATGGGCCTGAACAGGCCCAAGATGGCTTTGGGTTAAGCCACAATCCCCCCACATGCCTAAACCGTGAGTGGCCATGTGCTGCCATGGGGATCATCTTCTTCCACTTGTTTACTTGCCCAAAAACTTTTCCAGAAACCCTAGTTCACAATCCAGCTATTTCCAAGCTCAAACCAACCCTCAAGCACCATTTTCACGGGGCTTTCATTCCCCAACTATTAGAGATTCTAATGCTACAAAAACGGCACAATTTCGTGTCCTAACATGAATAATATGAATCATGAAAGTGAGTAGGGTTTCACTCATTTCAACCCAATTTCCCTTCAAATTAATAACAATATTTGACAATCTAAAGCAATTAGAGAGTACATAGTTTTTTAGTAATATCTTCAGCTGATGCACAAATTAATTCAATGCTTTTCAGTGAGATTTAAAGATTTCTGTATATTTGCAAACCTACGATTTTTTCATGTTAATAAACATTACACATGTATACATACGCCATATAATCACAGTTTTTCCGAATTTTACAATTTAAATTAATATCTAAATGTAAAATTCATTCTTAAACAATAATTTCATGTATTAAAAGAATCATATTCATGGGTTATAAAGAGTTACAAGGTTATAGATACATATATGTACATATATCCATCTTCACAATCAAAGATTAATTAGACCTACTTAAATTTTATACTAGATTATGCTAATTAGTAAAAATTCAAATAGATGAAGTTACAAGTATACATGAGGGTATAACGCGAAATCAAACTTGCATGATGTTTCTAATTGAGTTACTTTGGTTGGCCCTACTGCTTTTCCAGATGTGCACTCTCTCTAATATGAGACATCTGCAGCAGAAGAATATAACCCTAATTAATAAATAGGGATATATATATATATATATATATATATATATAAAAGAGGTGAGCTGGGTAGCCCAGTTGGTAGAGGCACTCCCCTAAGTCGTGTGGGTGCCCAGGTTTGACTCACCCCATCCTCCCCCTTCTTGCCAGGTTATATATATATATATATATATATATATATAAGGTTCTAGATCCTTGTTTGGCTACTAAGTATAAATTATCCTCAACTTGGAAATTATACATCCACATGATTTAAAATTCTCTAAATTACTATTTACATTAATAAAGATTTAAAATAGAGTAATTTGGGTATTACAATGCAAATATATGTTGCTACTTTGTCCTTGGTTTACAACACCAGGCCTATCACTCTTGGATCAGAACATCAATTTTCTGATCTTGTCCTTATATATTAAAGCCATTGTCTAAAATGGCTTTATTTATTACATCAGTCATCATCTTCCAATCCATAAATAATATTTGTTTTCCCACTCCAAACATGGTTGGTTGAATTGTACTGTTGGTGTTAAAGGCTTACTTCTCTATTAAATTGTTGCAATCATGTTCACTTCTATAGCATATATAAAACTAATATACTGATTTGCAGGTTACAAAAGCATAAAATGAACGAATCTGATGCTTACCAGTACTTTGTCTTACGAGCACAAAGAATAGCTTTGTCTCATGGATATGAAATTGTCAACTGGTATAAGATCTTATTCATAATTCTTTATGTTCCATTATATTGTTTTTTGTATCTAAATTATGCTTGTGAAAAACTTACAGGGAAGAGACCTTCAACAACTTTGGCAATAAATTGAGCCGGAAAACTGTGGTCCACAACTGGTATGCCTTAACGTGACTCTGCATGACTATAATCTAAAATGTTCGTACTTAAGCCCGCCTGCCCCCAGGGGAATGAATTAGTAGAAGAATTCCAGACCTTTACCATTGTTCATCTTATTTTTGTTATTTACTGGTAGTCTTAAAACATCGCCGAATATGAATTACAAATCGGTAAATGGGTGAAGTGCAAAGATTGAATTATATTTCTAATCTTCTTGGTTGATCAATCTCATAATAAACTAAAAAATAACTGTGATAGTCCAACATGTTATATTACTAATTTTCAGATTCCCCTTAACCAGAATCAGATCTTTCATATTCGTGGTTCTGATTTATATATAAATCATGAACTCAACAGCAGATTTTGCTAGGTCTTGCTTGATCTTTGTAATTCACACGTGTGTTTAAAAAGTAGCTGATCTAATGTTATGTTAGGATTGTGAAACACTAGACAATAGGTGCTCTTGGAACTGATGAACTATTTACAATCATGACATCTTGTCCCATCCCAGAGGAGTTCAAGAGATGATCCCACATATGAATATTGTCTGAAGAACTAAAAAAATCAGATGGAAGCTCTTTTGATAAAATTTAGACAGGTTATATTACATTTTAATGGTAAAACCTTCGAAGAGTTCAAAACTCAATAGTACATCAAATAATGAGGTATCTCTGTCTCCTTCCTAAGTTTTGCTTCAAGATTTTGGGAGCTTTAAATCGTGTGCTTACTTCCTCTCTTTCAGGCTTGGAGGTGGTGTTGCTCAGCAAGTGGTTGCGTCAGGGTTAAGGTGCATTGTAAGCAATCAGGACAAATGGTATTTGGACCATTTGGATATCATGTGGCAGGAATTCTATATGAATGAACCACTCACAAATATCACAAACCCCAAGCAACAGGAATTAGTTCTTGGAGGTGAGGTATGCATGTGGGGCGAACACATTGACGGGTCGGATATTGAACAAACCATATGGCCACGTGCTGCAGCAGCCGCAGGTACACATTTTATTTTACATTGATTAATATTCGACGTATTAATATTGAAACTCAAACTGTATATATGGTTTCATTGAATCAGTAACGCTTTAGAATTTTCTTAGCAATAGTGACCAGATTTGGACCATTTCATCATAGTTCTAAATTATTGCTGGGAAAATATGAAGAACCTATTGAGGAATAGAACTTGCTAATGTCAGAGTATGCTATGCCTTAAAATAAATTCAGAGTGTTGAATATATCTTGTGCATTATAAAGTAACAATAACAACCCTTTTACAATCTTGCAATTGTGTTAAATGCAACAATATCAATTATTTAAGCATACAGAGCAAAACTGAAATAACCCAAGCATGTATGATTCTTGGTTGTTGATCTTTGGAACCATAGGACAATGATAGAACAAGGTTAGGTAGTACATTTCTGAGCTCACAAGAATATTCCAGTTCTCAATATTTGTATGCAACACATAATCTATATGAGTGGCTATATATATTTGTGGTCCTATTCTGTTAATTTCTTTCAGTTATCTTTCTTGTTAATTTGTTTTCCCGTTTTCCCTTCCGTGAATGAAGAGAGGCTTTGGACACCTTATGACAATCTAGCTAAGGATCCAAGGCAAGTTACTGGAAGGTTAGCACACTTCAGGTGTTTGCTGAATCAAAGAGGAGTTGCTGCTGCCCCATTGGCTGGAGGTGGTCGTGTTGCACCTGAAGAGCCAGGTTCTTGCTATATGCAATAATAGGTTGAAGAACGCCCCTAGATCGTGAGGACAACGTGTAGTAGGTTCAATTACTTCGCTCGAAATGTCTCTAAATTAATGAGCAATTTGGATAGAAATAAGCATCTTTTGGTGTTTAGGGTCCAAAAAGTCGATTGTTTGTTTTAAGGCGATGTCTTTTTTGTCATGTCAGCCTCAAGTAATAGCAACATCAGTTTCATATCTGTAACAATGATGTTTATTTGAATAATGAATTACAATTGTTCTTTTAGTGAGATTCCTTTTGAAAGACAACAACTCGGGAGGAGACTACTTTCTTAGTTTGAGCTTGAACATGCAACTTATAACAAAAAAGTAGTACCAAGTATCGAATGAATATTATATATTAGGCTGCGTATTTTGTACAAACAAAAAGCTTGACAGACATTCTGGATTGGAGAATGCAGAGAGGTTCAAGCTGTAAGGATATTATAACGTAGTTAGCAGCTCATGGCCTCCATGGCGGAGGAGGTGGTGGGCTCACTGGGTACATTGGAGGAATTGCCGAAAATATGGTATTCTTGTCAATGCCATAGCCGCCACTGCTTGTCAGAGACACAAGTGCAGCAACCAACCCTGCATTTCCAGCCATTGTAGGCTCGGTTTGGCTGTAATTGCTACGCACATCTCTGAATCTGTCAAACCCATCAGGCCCTCCGACCATGGCTCCTGTAATGGTGTTAGGATTAGGGTTACGTGTGTCACGCCACTTCCATCCACCCTTGCACGAGTATTTGATGTTGTCACGGGGTATTGACGCTCCACGGTGATGCACATGCTTAGGGAATTTGGAGCCATACCCCACCAAGTAGCTCATATTCATGGGATTTGCACCAAGAATGTAGTCAATCTGTTTTTACAGCACAGATGAGAAAACTTGGAGGAAGAAACGACTTGAAACTAAACAGGTTACTGTGCACAATTGAAGGAAGAACTACATCTCTCCGCCTAGATAAAATTTGTAAAAAGAAAATGACAAGAATCAGAGGAAGATAGTACCTGGGAAGTGGCGAAATCACGAAGAACATCAAAGGATATAAAAGAAGGGCCACAGTACCATCCAGGCACGCCGGTGGCATTCAAATAATCAGCAAAAAGGTTTGCCAGGAAGGCTGCATTGGCCACATATTGTAGAGGCTGCCCACGCCCATGGTTCAGTTTAATCATTCCACCTGCAAGTTTATGCAAAAAGAAAATTCCATCACTGGGTTGGCAAATATGTGCGGATGCCTCCTAACTGTGCTGAAAATTGTGAGCACAGAAAATGTGCAAAGCATACAATATTTATACTAGTGTGTCGTGACATGGAACTGATCAAAGGGGAAGAATTAAGAGTTCCTCCATACCTTTAGTCCAGTTGAAGACATTGAACCTATGAAGATAACTGCACATGGTAAGACCAGTGACATTGTGATAGCTTCGCAACATATCTTCATAAGGGTAGCCCGGGTTCAAGAACACCCTCAGCCTCGTCAGAAGCAGCATGGCTGCCGGTAACTTGTTGTCCCAACTCAGCACACTCAAATCCGGGATCATGAAGAAGGCCCTGGAGTTCCTGGACAAGCCCGGGTTTGTTGCCAACGAAATGTAGGACTTGTTTCCGGTGGCATAGTACAGCCATGCAGAACCCCACATGTACTCATCAAAGTAGCCGGTGGAGTTGTAGTAGGGCTCAATGAAAGGGTTCCCACTACTGTATCTTGACCTTCTTCCGGAGTCCCTGGCGAAGGAGAAGACCGTTTTGGCGCCTTTGACAAGCTTGGCGGAGTATTGGGCATTGTCACGGAACACTATGGAGGCTGCTGCAAAAGCAGCTGCCATTTCCCCGGCGAGTTCTGGCCCTGCATATACGGTCTGGACTGGCCGGAGATAGTCCATGTCCTCTGGCCTTGTCCAACAGTAGTGATCATCTGGTACTTTGGAACCATTTTGAGACCCTCCAACCTTGCAACAGAAGATGGTGCAATCATTTTCATGAATCAAAAGTATGGTTGTGTTAATTTTTTTGGTGATTATATCAGAAGCAGGCAATTCCATATGCTACAACCTACATAACTCTTTAATTGGCAAATTCAACGCTGCCAAAATTAGGAATGCAACTGGTGGGTAGGTCAGCAAATGAATCGAGCCGAACAGCCGAGCTTGAGTCTATTCGAGCTCGGCTCTTTCATTTGTGGGCTCAGCTCGTTTAATAACAAAAGTCGTTCGGCCTCGATTTGAGCTCGTAGATAGTGTGGATTGTTGATAATATAAATGAGCCCACACAAGTGTATGCTCATGAACATACACTTGATAAGCTTACGTTCTTGAAATTATACACGCTTATATTTATGATCGTATTCTCGAGCCTTGTACAAGTCTATGTTCACGAAATATATGAATCTAAACGAGCCGAACTCAATATTGTTCAAGATCGACTCGTTTACTAAACGAGCCTATACTTATGAACGAGCCCGAGCTGCTCATGAATAGCTTAATTCAGTTGTAGCAAATAATACAAATTTCACGTATGGAGTCCAAGTTACATCGTAGTTAATGTATAGTATGCATGTATATATATATATATTAAGTATACCTGGCAATGGATTTTGTCAATATTGGTGGCAGTGTTGTTGAAGGTTAAGAGCAAGTAATCAGTGCCCCACTTGATGAGGTCTCTAACATGGTTGTACTCTCCAATGGCCTTGTACTTGTGTTCATATTCAATCACACTCCAACTCAACATTGTCATGGCAAATGACATTGGGAAATGGAACTTAGTGTTGTCTCCTGCATCATAATACCCTCCAACCAATCCTCCTTTGACATCTGTCAAGTTTGATCCATCATCTAGCCCAGAATTGCCCCTCCATGGTATGCCATTGTTCTTGGGTAATTTCCCAGCTGCAATATCACATCAATTTACCATTACCCCCCACCCAATCAATAATTATTCATATATATTATATTATATTTAGGAATGAAATTCCTTTCAGATCATCGATATTTGAACTCGTGACTGTAAGATAAACTTTGAATTAACTCTGAATATCCGAATTTATGGCTCGTACCTAAGAGCAGGAATGGAGGCACATTGAAAGCAAAGGCGGCAATTGCCCCCGTTGAATTTTTTATGCTTTTACTGTTATATACTACTAAATTTTCTTATTGACCCCCTCCCCCTTAAATTACAAAAAAAATTACACTAAATTCACTTTTGCCCCCCTCCCACAAGTTTCTGAATCCGTCCTTGCGATCCTTTAACCAGGTCACTTGTGCAAGTTAATTATTCATATTTATTATTTCTAACAAACATGATGTAGAAAATATGGTCTCTAGTTAAAAAATAATAATAATAAAAAATAAAAAATTTGGTAAACACATTGGTTTTGAACACAAATAATTTAAATAAATAATGAATGAAAACGAAATTGCTTGTCTTATGTGTGTGTTGGTTTATAGTAATTATACAAGATAAAAAAAGGAATGGTGAAAATAAATGTTTGGCAATGAAAATGTCAACTTAAAAGCTTAAATATGACAATGACACATTTATCTAAAATTTCAACATGTTGCATCCATGATAGTTTGACGGATTCTAAACTACGAGCCACCAACTAGAACAGAATGGTCATTCTAAACTAACAGGTGGTGCCAGCACCACTCCCACGTCAAGAACCCCATTTATACATATATATATGTGTGTGTGTGTGTGTGTGTGTGTGTGGTGCGTGTGTGTGTGTGTGTGGTGTGACTGTGTGTCCATTGGAATTTATGCTCCTTGTGTCCAATAGTTTCTTTTCAACGGCCTTTATTATGTTGACACTTCGGTGTTCTGTCTGTCCCCATTTCTAGTCTCCCGAAAAAAACGGAAGTTTTATTTATTTAGAACCTCTGACATATTCAAACTATATAGAGGATGCATATATATATATATATATATATATATATATATATGTATGTATGTATGCATGTATGAAAGTTGTATGAAAGTGATGAAGGTATGGTCCCACACGGACTTAGCTAGTATTCACACCCAGAAAAATGCGACCTCTTTGCCCTGTCATAGTTAAAGACGTGTAAAACAACTTGTTATAGATTTTACAATTACAAAATTGTAAGCTTAGTTTAGAGTACCACTGAACATTATAAATATTGATATCAGATGATAAAAAATAAAAAAATATACATGAAAAGTAAAAATCATATTTACATCTATATATAGTAGCATGGATTATGGATGTGCACACATAAACAATAAATGAATGAAAAAAAAAAAAAAAAACATCAAATATGGATTTGCCTGGATTATATAAAAATTAATTGTTCCCTGATTATTTCTTGTGCCAGCAAAATGAACTTACAACACATACACATGTACAAAGGTGACCGGAGTGTTACCAAAAAGATTCAACCGAGTCTAATCTCTCGAACCTGAACTCTCGATCTTCTGTGCACTAAAATGATACTATTTTGAAGGGATTCCTTTTGAACCTCGGGATTTTCGGCCCTCGTATAATTTCTCGGTGACAAAAATACCCTTGTATAATTTTTCATTGACAAAAATACCCTTGAAGAGGGGAATGAGAATCAAAAGAATGAAAGCTTTAAAATTGACTTGACTCGTAGAGCAAGTAGGTTAATTAGGAAGACTCACATTTCTGAGCATTGAAGAAGAGGAGAGCCTTGTGTAAAGCGTCAGAGTAACTATCCGGCGGAGGAGGCGGAGACTTGTGCTCCGGCAACAGCTGTGTAATCATGATGGGAAGAGCTATAACAAGGAAGGCGACCGCAACGGTCCCTATCGTCCACTTGAGGGCCTTCCGGCTGACAAGCATGCAACCCAAGTCCACATACTTGCTCTTCTTGTTGGTGTCTTGAGGTCCCAAAAGCCAACTCTGCTGCGTCTCATCCAACTCATGATGATGTTGTTGATTATACACTGATCCTCTGTCCAAGTCTCGACTCCTCTCGTCCTCGGTGGTTGAGTCGCCGCCATTAATCTCCAACGTTCCTCCCCAGTGATTAGCTGAATGCATTCTCTCTCTCTCTACCAGTTAATTAGGTTGGAGAAGAGTTCATGCAGGAGGAAAGGGAAGAGGAAGAGAGAGAGTGTGGCGCAGGCGATTAAAATGACCGAAATACCATCTACCTGTACTCATGAATTTGAATTGTTAAGAGTTAGTCTAACATGGGTTTTCATCATTCTAATCAAATGAAATGAATCTAAACTATATATATATATATATATATATATATATATATATATGTATATATTGTGATGTTTGTAGTAAAGAGATGATATATAGTATATATTGATAAACCTAGTGATGGAAATTTGTTTACCTTTACGATCATGAAGAGTATGGACGTGTTGTAGTTTTTGCAATTTGCATATATTTGTGCGTGTGTGTGTGTGTATATATATACAGAAACCTTGAGCAGGGGCTCTTTCTTCTTCTTCTTCTTCTTCTTCTTCTTCTTCTCTCTCTCCTTATGTTCTTAATATTATTGTTGATGATGAAGGGCACATAAATATATTGAGAGAGAAGGAGAAAGTTGACTTGGTGAAAGAGTATTCAATTTTTTGTTTATATAGTTTGTCTTTCTCTACAGCTCGTTTTCATTTGTGTTTAGTTTCCATGGTAATAAAAGTCATGGTGAAGACACTGAAAGCTGGATTGATTGATGGAGAAACTCTCTCTCTCTCTTGTGGTAAAATATATTGGAGAAACAATCTCTTTTTTCTAATTTGATTGATTGATTTATTTATGATCATAAAAAATAAATTACATTTGCAACCTAAATTATAATGTGTTGCTATCAAATCCTCTCAATTTTTTCGAACTTAAAACTACAATACTTATTTATTTACTTTTGAGTAGTGATTGATGTGGTTCAATTTTATATTGGCACGTTAATACTTTGAATAAGCAAGTATTGCCCAACTTTAAAATCCTTCAAGTCCCACTAAAATATTTTTCTTCCCACTAATTGATATTTTTTCTACTTTTTTTTTTTTTTTCTTTTCGTTTTTCTTAAAGTAAATCACACGCACCCAACCACTATTATTCTAGTGGGAACTCAAGCCACAGACTTCTGATTTGTTAGAAATTCTTGTTCCATGTCATTATGGATGTTGAAGGTCATGGGTGGATATACCGTATTATTTTTTAATAATTTAGGATTTGTTTGATTTATAACTTTAAAAATAGTTTTTTGTTATTAAAGTATTAAAATAGAAAATTGTACAAAAATTCGGTTTGGTTAAGTTCATAGTTAGTAAAATACGGTACGAAAAAAATACGAGTACGGAAACGTACGAGTATAATTCGATATTTTTTTTAAAATACGTTTAAAAAATTCAGCAAAAAAATACGGAGACGTAAAAATATGAATACGAATACATACGTATATAATACTTTATATATTCTAAAAATTCGGGATCAAAAATTTGGCTATACACATCTTATTATTTTCTTATATATATATATTTGTAAGGACAATAAAAAATATGTAACAAATAACGAAATAAATATATTACAATCGACACTATCACAATAATCATAAAAAAAATTCATAAGTATATAATGTGATATTCTACATCTACAAACTTCTAAAATAATAATAATAATAAAGATATTAACAAAATTTAAAAGATCTCATAACAAAACAAAAAATCTATAAATATCTACAAATATCAATAAAAGCTTATGATTCTTTAAGATTATAGCGTTTCACAAATATATATATATATATATATATATATATATATATATTTCATTGCTTTGATTAAAGATCATAATTGGAGTGACAACAATAAAAGATTGCACAACAAATAACTTTATTTTGATGGCTTGAAAGATAATGACTATACCAAGTAAAAAGGGTAGAAAATACAATAGTTTGCACAACAAATAACATTATTTTGATGGTTTCAAAAATAATGGCTATACCAAGGAAAAGAGGGTAGAAACGACAATAGTTTGTGTTTCAGAAAAATACGCTATTAGAAACATAAAGTTAGTAAACGAAAAAAAATAATAATTAGGTTACGAATTAAACGGAGCAACCAAAACGAATAAACGTGTTAGATACAGGGTGATGGAAAAAAACGCGTATTTTACCGTATCTTTGAACTCGGATTGGCAAACGGAAGTATTTTTTCAAAATTTGTACTTACGTATTTAATTCGCGTATCATACGCGAATTAACTAACTAGGATTCAGTTTTCTGAAAATTATTTTATAAAAAATCAGTTATAAAAATGTCTATTTTCAGATAACTATAAATGATTATTTATTTATTTATTTTTGATGACTCAAAACTCCTCTAGGCAAGGCCCTTCGGACCCACCCCAAAGGCATCAAACTGGGGATAGAGCAACCGGCCCCATAGTTACAACACCAGGTTAGTCGAAGGTGAAAAGGGAGGTGGCGAGATTCGATCACTGGCATTGTGTGTGGCAGCTCCAAGAACAAATTTATGTTTTTTGAGTTTTTGATAACTGTTTTTATAATTACAAATTAACCAAGCAGGCCCAGATATATTTTTGGATTAGAGGGTAAGCGAATATTCAAGAGGGTTAGATTCAGTCATTGACAAGGTGTTGCGAGTTCAGATGGTTTGTCCCAATCCAGATGATGGTCATGGGTTTATATGAGTGAGTATATAACAATATCCTGCCAACAGTTTAAGCTTTTGAATAAGAATGCAAGTATTTAATATTTTTCTCTCTTTCTTGATTTTTTTTATTTTTATTTTTAAAACGAGAGGAGTTAAGCTTTCTAATCATCGTGGCAGCTTATTTTTCTGCAAAACCTCCCCTACAAAGAGTTTAACCACCAACATAACAGGAATCATTTGAACATAAAAAAGAAAAAATTGTATTTTATAAGACTTTAATAGGTCAAAAGATAATTGAACTGAATAAGTTGAGAAATGTGAATCTTACATAAATGCATCCAATTATTGATGGATATTTATGAATGTGTTAAAGAAAACCTATTTACTGTATTTAGCTTATATATGATTAATAGTCGTATAAAAAATATATATATATAAATATATACATAATTGACCTATAATATTCTCAAAAAAGAGGATGAGGTAATTATAGATGGCAAAGGGACCTAATCACTTGGGTTTATAAAATAAGAAAATAAGTTTGAAAGTAACAAATGGGTTATGAAAAATGTAAAAAAAAGAAGAAGAATTAATGATGAAAATTGTGAAAAAATAATATAAAAAAAAGCAAAGGTTAATATAGGAATTGCTTAGAGGACATATCACATAGATATTTAATAATATATTAAAAAAAGAAACCCATAGAATTAATAAACCTAACAAAATTTAAATTTAAGACATAATCCAAGCATATCCCAACAAATAATATATTTAAAAAAAAAAAAAAAAAAAAAAAAAAAAAGCCCAATAGAATAAACCTAATTAAAATTAAATTTGAGACAATCTACATCATTCGATTGAGGTTGAATAATAATATATTATTATTCATTGTTTTTAGCACATTCATAGAGAGCATAGCAGCTGGTAACTCTTATCCACGGGATTGTTCATACCGGGGGAAGTTCAATGCCTCCAGATTGGATCTGTAATATCATTTATATATATGTACACGTAGTATTGTACAGTGTATCTATATATGTGTATATATATATAAAATAATGTTTAGTTTTGGTTGGGCTTGGGGATGATTGTTACTTCATGCCGTATTCTAGAATGTCATTGTAACATGTATCGCCTGTTATTACTATTATATATATATATATATATATATATATATATATATATATATAATTACAGTTGTGAATGATCGAATATATATATATATATAATTTAACTAAACGTGGATTCATGCACCTAAACCGTGTTTAATTCCTATGTGGAATCCATGCTCAACAAGCTAGCAGGCTCTAAAGTCTAGAAGTCAATATTTGGACAGCAGAAGGAATGGATTTTCAAGTGTGAGTACTATTTTGCCCTTCTAGTAGGCTGAATGTCCTATTACACTCACACACACACATACATATATATATATGCATGTATATATATACATATACTTATTTTTCTAAAATTACGTTGAAGAAACCATAAATAATGATAAAACTTTTGTTAGGAATTATCATCATATTAAATTCCATTCTGTGAGGGCCGGGAGAAAGAAAATAAAGGATTTTTATCATTGGGTTAGAAATAGCTAGGCTAGCATTCTCAATTTGGTTGTTTAACTTGATTGGTTTGAGCGAGATTTTAGTTTTTACAATTTTAAAAATGAAAAAAATAAGAGGTGTATGGTGTTTCATGAAACATCAACTTTACGATTCGATTCTCCTTTGAGTGCAAACAATTCGTTAGAACAGCACCCACCAATAAAAGTTCAAGTGGATAATGTGATGAAAATTATATATATATATATATATTCCCGGACAAGAATGTTAGGTTTAGTTGTTAGTAATTAGCGGGAAATGAGGAGTGCAAGGCTCGAACACGACTCTTAGACACGAAAAGCAATCCAACCATTCAGACAACAGGGCACTTGCACCTCCAACCCTAATTATTTGTAATTATATTTGTGAAAAGTTAAAATCAGTGGTCAAGGTCCCTGTAAAATGAAACATGAAGTTGAAAGTCAATTCACTTTGGACAACATTTTCAACACGCATGAGTGCTGTTCATTCACCGGAGATGATGGAACCATAATGACCCTCACAACTTTTATTTTTATATTAAAATCAAGTATTTGTTTTCACACACATTCATAATCTTTTCACACGCTCTTACCACTATAATTGAACACCGACAAGTCTAGCAATTGATTGTTCAAGTTCGGACTTGGATTTGATCAAAATAACTACCGTTCATAAGGGGCAAAATAACTATCTAAGCCAAGTTGTGAGTTGCTTTAGTGTGATAATCCTTGTCCCGTGTTGGATTCGAATGAGAAGGTTTTTAGGCATATAAAGTTGAATGTTAACATAATTTAATAGTTTAACTTTTTAAGTTAAATCGTGAAACACCTGGCCCATATAAGAGTACCAAATTTTTGATCTGGGTGATTTAAGGGACGTTGATGTAGTAATAGCTAAGCTTTTGGGAAAAATTGCGAATCACTTAGTCGCGATAGTAGGGATGGCAACGAGACAGGTATGGAGCGGGTTTGCTTAAATCTGTACTCGCCTAGTTTAATTATGGATCCATACTGGCCCCATAACTGCCAAAGTTTTTAATTTCACAATTCATACCTGTTTTGTTCCGTGCCTATCCTGCCCATCCCCGTTCACCTTTTTTTATTTTTTATGATCTCTATAAATAAATTGATAAATTTTAAAATATATATATATATATAAAGAGGGACGGATGTTTCTCAAAACCCATACTCGCCCTATAATCCACGACGGATTTAAAATCTAAATTCATACCCGCTCTTACGGTACATAAACGGTTCCTAAACCCGTGCCATTAGGGGCAGAACGGGGTGGGTCTCCGACAGGGCAATTCAAATTGCCATCCCTACCTGAGAGTGTTGATGTGATTCAAATGGGCAGT